AAAATTTCTATGCTGTAAGCACTAGTTCAACCTTCGCTACTTTTGTTCAGGTTTCATGATCGGTGATGGAATTCCCAGTTCTAATTGTCTCCTTACAGACAGTTCCCCTATCAATCACATCCAGCCTTAAGTTTTCTAAACTCCTTCGTTGGTTTTTAGAAACAAGAATACGAAGTCGCCTCCTGTCACCGACAGTCAATTTTCTGGGCCTACCTGCGCCTCCCTGGTGCTCAATGCCATATCCATTTGCAATATTTTTCAAAACACGATAAACAGTGGACAAAGGGATGCCTGGTCTACTTGATATCACTTTAGCTGATCTGATGTCCTTGTTATAATACTCTAAAATCAACTTCCACTTCTCTAAATCATCCATACTGAGGATCACTGAAAATGTCGTCTGCTAGCAAGTAAACAAAGAGGGATAACTCTTCACAAACTAATGAAAACGGATTAACCGAGTTGTCTCTCTTGACTGAAACCAAGCACTTGATAGCTGGTCAAGGTGGTTTATACAAGAAATCCAATTAAATATATTCCTAAAATTCTCAATAATTTCTGGTCATACTATACATGCGTTCGTCGCCCACTCCTGTTTTTCCGCGACAAGCCGAATATCTTCTTGGAGGTTACGGAAATGAACGATTGGATATTTGATAACGTTCCCATCCAAATATACATTCACTGGACAAAACAAAAACTGTGTCCAGGTTCCTTAAATGCTCTAAAAAGTAGTATGCCACTCTACAGTGTAGTCTTTTCGTGTTTTTCTTTTTAAAGTTTTAAAGAATGTTGACAGCCCATGGCTGTTTTTCAAACAAACTTGGAAAGTTTATGGGAAATCAATTCCAGAACGTGTTTGTATAATTTGTTTAAACATATTGTGAACTAATTTATTTCAGTACATCACTGGACATCGTGTGCATCGGTATATGTGGAATACATCTTACAGTGCAACACATCCTTTTAAATCAGTCTTCTGGGTATACCGATACCAGTTCTGAATTCGATATCCTCAGTATTAAATAGTTTAGCGGTAGAGGTCAGATTGTAGTGATATTGCTTATTATGGATGATGTAGAAAACTGAAAAACGCTAAACATCGGTATCTCCGTATTGTTAATGGAAAGATGGCCACAAGAGGCTTGGAGGTGCCTGACAAAAAATTGCCAAGTTTCGATCTCAAACAAACCGTGGTATTAGTTGCATCACAGAGTTTAAGGTCTAACCTTACAATCTACTTCGTCAATAAACCCATTTGCTGAATAAATAAATCCTGTACCATTATCAGGGCATAAAATATCCATAGAACTTGTTCTGTTCTACCATGAATGTTCTAGAGTGTAGCTTCAGTATTGACCTGTTGACCACAATCAGTGGACTGAGATGGGTTTAACATCGCGGCATGGGTGGGGTGGGGCATGCAGGACCTAGACGTTTACCTACTTGGAACGTGTTGTTGACAAAACTGGAGAAAAATCGGGGCGGACAGGGATTCGAACCCACGATCACAGGTTTTTGACGTGCCCTATTGCCCTAGTAATGATACACTGCGCAGTGACCTAGGACCCCCCAATACATCTGGCCCACGGTCAGTAATAAATCATGGGTAGGTTGTCTGAAATGTCTGAAACTAACAAAATCAAGTTTCGGAATAAATCCAAACCTATGTTTATTTAGGTAAGAATGGGATCTCTTGGATTGAATGTATTTTGAGAACATTCTGTTTAACTCAACAGGCGAGCGAGATAAGAAAGGGTCTGACAGTGAGGATGCGGAGGAAAATGCAGATGAAGCTGATGATGACAAAACCAAACCGGCAAAACGAAATAAGGATGACGAGAGAAAAAAAAAACACACGAAGCAAAAGAGGATTGTTTAATTCGATGATGGAAGGGGGTGGGCGTGACGGCGGTCAGGGAGGAAATCAAGGTTTCCTCTTTGGAGGACACGGTGGAAGTCTCGGCCAATCTGACGGTATGGGAAGCAGCATATTGGGTAGGGTGATGGGTGGTGCAACTAGTCGTGGAAGACAGTTGGGAGACATTTTTGGTGGGGTGATGGGGGGGTTCAAATAATGGTGGAAAACAAATGAGCGGCATGTTGAGTGGTCTGATGAGCGGCCTCACAGGCGGGAAGTGAAACCCCAAGTACGGACATGATAGTGGCAAGCGAAGCAACATTTGCACTAGAATTCTTAAATGAAGACCACGAATCACACGAGATTCCCAAGTAATGTCAGTTGGCAATAGAATATGCAAAACTTTCGAAAATTAAAAGGTTTCAAAAGTCAAGTGACTCATTTTTATGATGTTTTATGTGTGAAACTTTACATGTTGTACACTCTTGAAAAAATGAAACGCATCGATTTGAATACATTTTATACGCATTTTTCTCACCTGTGACCCGTTTTTGAAATATTTTAACAGGTGAACTATTTATGCATGTATAACTGTATGTTCCAAGTGTCTACAAGTGCTCTTGTCATGGTAAAGGTCTGTTGGTATCATGGTAAAGCGATAGGTTCCAAAGTACAATAAGAAGATTTCTGCAGTTAGCTACTTACAATTTCAAAACAGGTTTGATGTATGTTAGTTTCAGCACTGGGGCTCAAATGTTAAAACTTCCATCGACCACTCAACAATACCTGCTAATAGTCAAAAGTAAGCTTAAAGTTAAACATGCAGTATGAAGATAGGTTGTGTGAAGAAATCATGATTTTTAAATTAGTCAATGTTTTTGAATAGACGAATAAGTGAGTGAGCTTTGTTATACGCCACATTCAGCAATATTCCAGCTATATGGCGGCGGTCTTAGGACAAGCATGAGTTACTGAAGGTATTCTAACCCGAACCATCACGGGTGTGGTGGACGTTGAAGTGTCTTGCAACGGCAGACTGGGACTCTCCTGCTTCCAAACGTCCAATGGCAATATTTCGGTCAGTAGCATTCAATAGTGGCATTTTTTATCTTCGTTGACGTCGTAAATTTCTTAATGTAATGAATGGTTTGGTCTTTTATAGTCGATGTCTCTACTCATGTGTCCGACACATTGCACGTGCATTACGTGGAAAACTTTTTCTGCATGCACTTTTCATGTGTAATTTTCATTTTGTATGACAAACGCTTACAAATCACATTTTGGGATGCGTTTGCGCGCAGTATACAACAACCACGACATGATCAACGCTATTCAAACATAGGAATTTTCTTAATGACAACTGATGTCAAAATATATCGAAATGAACTGCTGAAAACGCCCATGCGTTTCCTTTTTTGAAGAGTGTGTATTTTTAAGGCTTAACTCTTTGAGAATATAAACTACCGGGCCAACGAAAGTCATCACAGACATCACTTGCAGACAAAATAAAAACAAAGGCATATGTGAGATTTATGGTAATTATTTTACAAACAGAAGTCATTTTCCAATAATTTGACTGAAAATTCATTGTAATGTTGTTCTTGTATTTGTCGCAATTCATTAAGAAAGGGTCAAGGGGTCAAAATTGAAAAATAAACAAATCAAATTTCATTCAAAAAGTGCATAAAGAATCACATAATGAAACAGGAGTCATGGGACACGTCATCAATAGCGAGTGTGACCCCCTGGGCATCCATACACCCCAGGGGCGGTGGGGTAGCCTAGTGGTTAAAGCGTTGGCTCGTCACGCCGAAGACCCAGGTTCGATTCCCCACATGGGCACAATATGTGAAGCCCATTTCTGGTGTCCCCCGCCGTGATATTGCTGGAATATTGCTAAAAGCGGCGTAAACTAAACTCAGTCAGTCAGTCCATACACCCCAACTAACGTCTCCTCATTGACCATAATGTTCCCTCATTGTTCCATAAGTCTGTTCATGTTCCCGTAGGTTTGCTGGAGATGATACACGTGATCTGGCAGTGTGAAGCCTCGCGTTGTCGTGCTGCAAAATGACTCCTCTTGGCTGTTGTCGAATAAAGGGTATCCCTGTACTGCAGGTCATTCAGATTTCCTCGGGGCTAACAGTCTTGTTGTTCTCTGGCCACAAATGTCGCCCCATACCATGACGCCCCCTACATCGAACGGATGAACTTCTTGAACGCAGTTTGGCGCCAGTCTCTCTCATCTAATTTGAAAAACTCGAACTCTGCCATCGTTTCTGAACAGACTGAACCGACTTTCATCTGCCCGTTGCAGTCGGCGTTGACGGTGTAGACGGGTCGAGGCCATTCCACGGAAGAGGCGATAGGCTCGTATACCATAGCAAGTCGTCGAAGCACTGTTCGTCTGCAAATGATGTCTCCTAGTGCAGTTGCCGCCATTGACTTCGCCGTCAGGAATCTGTTCCGGAGGTGGATCTGCCGAATGTAGCGGTCTTCGGCCGGTGTCCTGACTATTGGACTTCCCGATTTGGGGCGGTCTTGGGTCTGGTCTGTTTGCTGGTGGCAGTTTATTTGTGAAGCCACCATATTGGCCATACCGATCGCCCTGTCTCGTTGCGCTTGCTTAGGTCTTGGCATATTCATGGTTGTTTTTTCTTTGTTGGTTGGTCACTGCAAGCTGGCTCTGTCCAACATCGGTATAAATGCCAAAATCATGCACGTGCATTTGGACCAATGTCCCACAATTACGTTTTTCATGTTTTGAAAAATACACAATTCGTGAAGTTTTTGGACAGCTGCGATGTTAACGGGACAATGTTGCGTTTTCTGCTTGGCTTCAAACCTGTTCCAGCGTTTTTGTTTTTTATCCAATTAATTTAAAAGTGATAACTTTCTTTTGCCCGGTAGTTTATGTATTGTTATTGGTCTGTACTCATTCAAAGATGCACTTACAGCGTGATAAGTACGTGTAGCAAAATACTATTCGAACTCAAGGTAACTTCGGCGGAAGTCCCGGCGGAAGTCCTGGTGAAAGTCCTGGTGGAAGTCCTGGTGGAAGTCCAAGCGGTCACTTCGGTGGAAGTCACGGTGGAAGTCACGGCGGTCAATTTGGCAGCAGTCACGGTCGTATGGGAAGTCACCATCGGGGAAGTGGCATGATGGGTGGCCGTATGAGCAAAATGATGGGTGGAGGAATGGGCAGCAGGATGGGTGGGGGGATGGACCATAGGATGGGTGGTCGGAGGAGCAGCAGGATGGGTGGAGGGAGGAGCAGCAGGATGGGTGGAGGGATGGACCATAGGATGGGTGGAGGGATGGGCAGCAGGATGGGTGGAGGGGGAGCAGCAGGATGGGTGGGGGGATGGACCATAGGATGGGTGGAGGGATGGGCAGCAGGATGGGTGGAGGGGGAGCAGCAGGATGGGTGGGGGATGGACCATAGGATGGGTGGAGGGGGGAGCAGCAGGATCGGAGGAGGCATGAGCAGCAGGATGGGAGGAGGCATGAGCAGCAGGATGGGTGGAGGGGGAGCAGCAGGATGGGTGGAGGGAGGATGGGTGGAGGGGAGCAGCAGGATGGGTGGAGGGAGGAGCAGCAGGATGGGAGGAGGCATGAGCAGCAGGATGGGAGGAGGCATGAGCAGCAGGATGGGTGGAGGGGGGAGTAGCAGGATGGGAGGAGGGAGGAGCAGCAGGATGGGGGGAGGGAGGAGCAGCGGGATGGGAGGAGGCATGAGCAGCATGATGTTTGGCAAATAAAACTTCAAGTATGGCCACGGCAGCAGAAAAAAATGAATCTGATTTGTATGAATTTGAATCAGGATCAAACGTGAGACGGGATTCTTAAGTGATATCAACAGAACTTTTGCTTCAACTAGAAATGGCAATCGGTATATAAATTCAATGCATGACTTTCGAATATTGATTTAAAACTTGGTTGACTCTTCTTCATAGACCCCTACCGAGTCCCTACGATGCTTTATACAGTGGAACTTTATGTAAAAACATTCAAAACCTCTTTGGGAATATCTGTATCGTTATTGTCCTCTATCAATGCAGATAAAGGTGCATTTTCATCATCCTGAATATCTGAATAAAAGCATGTGTCCTCCTTATGGGTTTGAGTGAGTTGTTAGTGAGAGAAGGAGCCGGAGGTAACGCCACTATACAACTTCGACTATGCCAGTCAAAATGATGCCGCCAACAAGTTCTGTAGAACAAAGCTTATTTGTGTTTTCAAAACCTGAAATATGAAAGATGTAATGTAGTCGCCATTAGAATAGTTTAATGAACAGCTTTGGAAGTGTTTCAGCAATATGAGGGTGTGTCAGCTTCATGTTCAACAATATCTTAGATGTCTTTCAGTGACATTTAGAAGTTGTACATTGATGTCCAAGATATTTTTATATTTTTTTTAAATTACAAAGAAGTTTAATCCATAAAAATATCTTGGACATCAATATCTTAGAGGTTTACCACGTCAGTGAGATCCACAGACATAGTGCTGACAAACTCTACCATTATTGCGAGAGTGGGATTCGAACCTATACAAAAATGGGACTTTGTGTGGTGTAAATATCGGTTTGTTATAAGGTGTGATTTTTGCGGGAAAACATCCTGAAGTACTTTAGGACCTAGACCTAGAGCCGATAGACAAGGATGAGTGAGTTGTGGGCAATGCCGCTTAGAGCTGTATTCCAGTTACACCAAGGCGTATCGTAGGCATGTGTTTGAAAGCCGAACGTGATGGAAACCGGGTGAATTCCTATTGTACATAAACTGATTCAGGTAACTGATACATTAACTGGGGTTCAACATAATGTGGGGCGGTGAGGTAGCCTTGTGGTTAAAGCGTTCGCTCGTCACGCCAAAGACCCGGGTTCGATTCCGTACATGGGTACAAAGTGTGAAGCCTATTTCTGGTGTCCCTCGCCGTGATATTGCTGGAATATTGCTAAAAGCGGCGTAAAACCATATTAACTCACTCATTCACTCACTCAAGATAATGTATACATGGCAAATAACAGTCCGTTCACGAAACATAATGAATTATTTGATCAGGAGAGTTATAAGCTTAAATTATCCGACACCATTTAGACGTCTGAACATAATCTGACTAGAACAGTTCCGCATGTCAACACATCATTACCCTTATTCACTTCTTTACCCTAAAACACAACCTTATTTGTGTTGATAAGTTGCATGTGGTAACATGAGTCAACTGATGTTTGATAGGCATTTAGAAGTTGGTAGGGTAATACAACACGCTTGATATGGATGTGCAACTTCTTTATTATTTACACACAACGTTTCTGGGCTAATACTTGCCCCTTCATGAGGTGAATGATGCCCCTTCAACAGGTGAATGGAGGGGCAAGTATTAGCCCAGAAACGTCGTGTGTAAATAATAAAGAAGTTGCACATCCATATCAAGTGTGTTGTATGAGGCAACTGGCATTTCAGTCGATTCAAGTTTGTGTTCGCAGCAGTATCACTTCTGTGAGTGAGTACGTGTATGCGCGCGTGAGTGAGGCATTGTATAACGCCACATTTAGCTCTATTTCGCGGCAACACAACGGGGGACACCAAACATGAGCTTCACACATTGTACCATTGTAAGGAATCACACCCAAGCGACAAGCTTGGACCACAAGTCTATCCCACCGCCCTCTCTCTTGTGAAAGAAGATATGCAGAGAACAACTCTACGTTTAGGGTATTAATACAACCAACAAAACTGTCATTGAGTTCATTTGTATTGGCTAACCTGCATACATATAATATTAGTCAAACGACCCTGCCATAACACCTTTCTTGTGTGGCCGTACATAGCCGCAATGAATGTCCTCATACAAAAGATCGAGAAATACCTTCGCTTGTGTTACCACAACAAACCAACAATGACGGGATTCGCCATGTTGGGTACGACCAGCAGTTCACTGTCACGCACTGACTGGGACGCCACCGTGGTCGAGGTGAGTACCATAGCGACCGGTGCCGAAATATGTTCATGAACCTGGTAGACCACTGACAGTAAGTTCGACACAACGCTGTAAACTGTATGATTTTGAAAAGTGATATACTAACACTACCGTAGTTTGTAGAAAGGACAAGAGATAGCCTGTTTTCTGTGAAAATGCGATTCAATTGTAGGATGTATTCAAAGGACGTGGGTGTAGCACGAGAAGAATTCAAATTATAATCAATGAATGAAAATGCGATCAATGGATCTTTGAAAATCGGTATTGACAGATTGGGTAAACCAGATATAAGGTAGAACTGTCTGAAAGAATTGTGACTTGTTTAAGAAGAATTTATCAAAATGTCTCTACCTTAACTCGGCATTGGATTTCACTGAAAGCTGTCCATGTTTCGAAAACAAAGTATTTTTCTTAAAAACCCTGAACCATTGTTTTTCTTCCTCTTATTTGGGCTGTTCCGAATGCTTGAAAACATCTAGGACAGTAGTTCAATTTCTTTTAAACTTTGTATTTAAATTTTAACTTTAAATTTTGTAATTTTGTCGGTATAAGTTTTAAATGCATTGTGTGGATCATGTTTACATACACTCCAGTCTATACTGGTGTATATTCAACGCACCTGTTAAGAGAAATGACACTTGCTGTCGTGCATCCGTGCTAAGATGCATGTTTTAAATTCTGGTAGCAATTCTCGAAACGTTCGTAGCCCAAAGAATTTCTTAAACCCATTCTTAACACATTGGCCACAATCAAAGTTAAGAATTCTAAGGGCTACGAACGTTTCGAGAATAAGGGCCCAGGTGCTTAGCCGCCCCGTGGTGGGGTGGATAGTGTCCGCCCGGATAGCGGATAGTTGGTGGGTCGACTCCTTGTCGCGTCATGCCAAAAGACGTTAAGTGATGCCACTTCTTGCTAACCTGTATTGGTACCGTCGACATTAAGGGCATAAAACACGAACTGGTTGCCCTGGAGTCAATATATGAATCTTACCTATGTTAAAACTGCGATATGTCAGTGGGCCAAAATAAAAACCTGATTAGAACAGCAGTCACTAAAGCACACACGCACTCATGATGCACGGTATCGGGGTAGCAAACATAAAGACACGTTGATCATTTTGCTTATACCTGAATGAACAGTTCACCGTTGATCTGAATTGTAGGTAACGCTGTGTTATAATTCTATAGAGGGTAAATAAAACGGGATCGCGTGAAAATCCATTTAAGCCGAATTCATTTATCTTTATTCGTAATAAAAGCGACAAAACCATCACGGTTATGGATAAGAAATATCTTCTGAAAGCAAGAGCGTTCTACAGCTTAAACTATATCACGTGTTTGTCTTTATACATGACTACCTGTCTGTTGGTGAAACGGTTAGTGCATTCTGCTCCACCGAGCAGAGTGCCATATTGTGCTACATATTGTTCTATGTGAATAAACGGAGCAATACTTCACGTGTAGTCTGTAAATTTTACAGTGCTAGATCATTCTTCATACTACTTTTGTAATAACCGAAATACTGTACTGAAAGTTCCAGCCCCATTCGACAAGAGTGGAATAATTAGGAGATAAACCTAGTGTGTTTGAAAATCAGAGACATGCTTTACTGAATTGATGGCGACTAAATTTCAGTTGGAACCGAACGCGTATTTTCTTGATTCATGGTAGAATGACTTTTACATTTAGGAAGTTCCTACCCTATGCCTCTTGGAACCGCCTCCGTGGTGTAGTGGTCAGAGCGTTCGCCCGGAGAGCGGAAGGTCGCGGGTTCGATCCCAAAAGACGTTAAAATATGGTACTTGTTGGTCCCTGCCTGGCGCTCGGCATTAATGGGTACAACAAGGACTGGTCGGCTCGGAGTCAGTATAATGTGACTGAGTGGGGTGTTCATGTTTAACAGCGGCATGGTATCTCAGTGGGCTAGCACTATAAAACCAGCTTATGACTGGGCTAGTACAAGCAACCACACATACACTCGTATGCACGTCGTCATATGAGCGAAATATTCTTAAGTACAACGTTAAACCCGATTTCACCTCACCTCCTATGCCTCTTGTAACGACACACAGTTAGGTTATTCTTGGAACATTTTCGTTCAAAAATTTCATTTAGGTGAAGCATGTTTAAGAAACATCGCGTTTCCATCCCGAACACCGGCTAACCCAGCCAGAAGAGACAAGTAGTTCCGGCATGGACTCTTGGTGTTCCTATGCACTTGGTCTGATTCCGTGCTTTCATATTTGAATTCTATGTTATTAAGATGTAACCACAATGATATACCACCGCCCCTATTAAGAGAAATGAGACTTGCTGTCGTACATACGTGTTAGGATGTATGCCCAAAATTCTGGTGCTTCACCCGCCCCGTGGACAGGTGGATAGTGTTCGCCCGGTAACGAAATTTTGGTTGTTCGATTCCAAGTCGCTTCAAAAAAGACGGCATTAAGGGAAGACAACACAGGCTGGTCGTCCTGGAGTTAATATAAGAATCTTAGCTGGGTTTCTATGTTAAAGTGCGATATGGGCCAGCACATAAGACCAGGCTTTCGTCCTGCTGTGAACATGCAGCCACACAAACACACATGTACACGTGCATGCACGTTCATGTAGCGCAATAATCTTGGGCGCGGCGCTTAACTCCATCTTCTTCAGCGTTTTGTATTTCCCTTCTTTTTGGTTATGGTCAGAGTGAGTCAGTATGTTTAGTTGACGCCGCGCTCAACAATATTCCAGCTATATGGCGGTGGTCTGTAAATAATCGAGTCTGGACCAGACAATCCAGTGATCAACAGCATTATCATCGCTCTGCGCAACTGGGAACCGATGACATGTGTCAACCAAGCCAGCGAGCCTGACCACCCGATCCCGTTAGTCGCCTCTTACGACAAGCATGGGCGGGTTACTGAAGTTCACTCTAAACCGGACCTTCACGGGTCGTTATGCTCAGAAGTAACTCTGAATTACTCATTTGCTGCTTTCAACCATTAGAAATAGTAGGATAATTTATATTTAACACTTTCAGACTACTGTCAATATTTTGCCCAGGCAGTTTAGTGTCCTGGTTCGCTGTGCTCGGTGTTAGTTATTCACAAAATTCCTCATCTTAGAATTGTTCATGAAGTTGTCAAAACTGTACTAATTTCATCTCCTTAAGGGGCACGGATAGCATCGCAATGTACTGTGAAATGTTGCGCTCCATATACATTCGAGAAACCTGTGATCTTGGGTTGGGTTCTCGGTTCACCTCGGTCATGTTTCAGGTTTGTCAACACAATACAAGTGTTCGTGGGTCTCACCAAAGTCATTAACGCCTGAGACCAGCATCATTTCGGGCTTTAGGGTCACATTAAGTTAAAACGTTGTAATATAAGTGAAATACTTTAAAAGGTGGCGTTAACACCTAACTATTTAATGAACTTGCATTTTCCTTTTCCAGGCTTTGGAATGGCGGCAGGCAGTGGTGGAGGATGGAAGATACTCACAGGGGTATTTGTTTGTTCATCTGCCGTACTGCTCTATCTGTGGATCAGAGAACTTGAAATCAACAACCGACATAGATTCAAGGATGGTGCTGATTCCACGGGAAATAATGGTCCTTACCTTGTATGTGGACAGACTAAGAGCAGCACCAGCAGCTCCAGCGGCTCCAGGAACACCAGGAACATCATCAACACAACTGAAGCAGTATATCCTGGCTTGTATGACGACTTGACCGTGAGTGAGCTGAGTGCCATTCAGAGCTACATGTATGGACTAAGAACTATGACGATTGTAAGGCCATCCCAGGCGACGGTGAACAACAGCTACATCTTCGTATCTGATCTCCATCCACCAAGGAAGTCAGAAGCTTTGGCCTATTTGGTTGGCACGGGTCCAAGGCCAGAGAGAAATGCTCGACTTGTTATATTCAGAGGAGATGCACGTCTTCGAGTCGTAGAGGAATACATTGTTGGACCTCTTCCTAACCCTACACGACACGTACTGTACGCAAACTCACGCCGTACAAACCCTGTCCAGTACGCCTATAGACCTCTGGGACTAGTTGAATATGATTCTTTTTATGACAACATATTCCCAGAGATTGAAAACAAGCTGGGTGTTCTTTTGAGAGAAAGCTATGGGGGAACATTTACCGCCTGTGGGAATAGATGCCTAACCTTTCACGCTGTCCCAATCGGGAGTGGGATCATACAACAGCCTGTACGAAAGATGTGGATCATTACCAGCCATTCGGTAGAATACCATAGTCTCAACAACCTTGATCTCATGTTTCTTTTCAATATTGATTCTTCAGACTCATCTGTCAGCGTCGAGAAAGTTCTTTACGCTGGTAGGGAATATCTAAGTCTTGATACCCTCGCCCTACAGTACAATACCACATCCATACCTAAAACCAGAATACCATTTCCTAACAATGACAGGAATCTGTTCTCATCAATGAACAGAAGAGGTACACCAGTTCCTACAGAGCCTAAAAGATCTCCAAGAATGGTCGAACCAGATGGTAAACGGTACTCTGTGAGGCATCGCAGTGTCGAATACATGCAGTGGAAATTCGACTTCAGAATGTCTACCTTGTCCGGGCCACAGATTTACAATATCCGGTTCAATAATGAAAGAATTGCCTATGAAGTCGGGATGCAAGAAATAGCAGTCTTCTACGGAGCTCACAACGCAGCCGTCCAAAACAGTGACTTCATCGACAGTGGTGTTTTGATTGGCACCCACTCCCAGTCTCTTGTTCCAGGAACCGACTGCCCGGAAACAAGCACGTTCATCAATACGGCCTACATTGGCGAAGGAGCCAGTGATGGACCAGTAGTTCTGGAGCAGGCTTTTTGCCTATTCGAATTGAATAGTGGTGTACCCCTCAGACGCCATCTTTCCTATTCTAAATATGCGGGTGCTTTCTACTCTGGGATGACAGACAACGTCCTTATCCTTCGGAGTATTTTCACCATCGACAACTATGATTACGTTTCTGACTTTATCTTCCACCAGAGTGGAGCGCTGGAGGTTCGAGTTATGTCTACAGGGTACATTTTCGCAGCTTTCCATACACCAGATGAAGCCCCTTATGGATTTAAACTCCAGGACAACATCTTTGGACCTATCCATCACCACATGTTCCTCTTCAAGGCAGATGTTGACATTCACGGCACCAGCAACAGATATGAAACCCTGGACATCTCGGCCGAAGAAGTCCAAAACGAGCAGACGACAAATGACCCCAGCTCAAGGTACAACCAGATTCGGTTTGACAGACGGCTGAAGGAGAGAGAGATGGCAGCTGCCTACAAATTCAACTTTGATAACCCAATGTACCATGTCATACACAATGAGCTACGTAACAGTACCCAGGGGGAGATGAAGGCCTACAGGTATGTTTCTTGATTAGATTGTTTGTTTATGTCAAACGCCGCACTCAGCAATAATCCAGCTATATGTAAGCGGTCATATATCGATCTACACAATTGGGATGCGATGACATGTGTCAACCAAGTCAGCTAGTCTGACCACATCCTCACGATATGGCTGAAATACTGCCGATGTGACTTAAAATCTCAACTCACTGATCACATCCGGTTAGTCGCCTTTTACGACAAGCATGGGTTACTAAAGACCAACACGGATCTTCAAGGGTACTTGATTAGTCAGTCAAACTGATCAGACCTTTACAGGGTAAACCATGTATGTTATTCATTTAAAGACTTACCAGCCATATATCCACACTTGTGACTTAATACACGACATATAGCGATGAATTGTACTAAGATTGCTTTGGTAATGGACATTCTTCACATAGACATCCAAAAACACCATTCAGTAAGGATAACTTTCCAAACAGAATAAAAGTCACTAAAGCCGTTCCCCATCCATAAGATATCGAAAGCGGTGTCGATTGTATAGTCCAATCTTCATTATGGGCGCGTGTTCGTTTGTTTGGTCTATGACGACAGTCTGTAAATAATAAAGTATGGACCTGATGATCCAGTGATTAACGTGAGGAGATACCATGAATCCCTCATAAGTAGAAAATGAAAGGGCCTGGATTAACGTGGCAGTTAATGTCAGGTAACACATGGAATTGTCTGTTAATGACTCAATGGAGTGACCGCCTGGGTGGTTTCGTGGTTAGAGCGTCTGCCCGGAGAGCAGAAGGTCGCGGTTCGATCCCTACCGCGTCATACCAAAAGACGTTAAAATATGGTACTTGTTGGTCCCTGCGAGGGCGCTCGGCATTAATGGGTACAACAAGGACTGGTCGGCTCGGAGTGTCTCGAGTGGGGTATTCATGCTTCACTGCGGCATGGTATCTCAGTGAGCTAGCACTATAAAACCAGCTTCAGTCTGGGCTAGTACAAGCAGCCGCACATACACATTCACACGCATGCACGTCGTCATATGGGCGAAATATTCTCAAGCACGACGTTAAACCCAATTTCACCTCACCTCACCTCAGTGGAGTAGTGACGACATAGTAGTGTGTAGAGATGACAAAACTTTAGAAATGATCATTCATAAAGTTGTGTCATCTCTATACCACCAACTTCTAGAATGCCACTCAAACAAATCATAGTAGTGTGTGTACACTGACTGTTATTCTAATGGGAGACACAGCTCAAATTGTCTCGTTATTTGGCGCGGGTGTACTGGAGGTTACAGCGCGAAACCGGAAGTCAGCTTTCATTGTGGCTCGTATCGCGATTAGGTCGACAGTGGTGCGAACTTTGTTATTAAGTATGTAACATGACTTGGGGTCCGAGTAATTTAGCCTGATATTGCTTATCTGCTCAAAGGTTACTACTTATCAGGTATAAAATAATGAGAATTACATTGTGAGCGTGCGGGAAGCAAGGGAGAGTAACTGCATAAGAGTTGGTTTTTTCCACAGAAAAGTTCAATTTGGAATTCATTCTAATTTGTTTTCTCTTGTATTTGGCACTTTAGAATCCGGACAATTAAATAAAAGAGAAGTTTAAAAATGCTTGTTCCAAAAACGTTTTATTCCGTCAGGATTCAGCTGAGCGGGATGGCCAAACAGCTCCTGCCTGAAGATGAAGGGAATGAGATCGTTGTTTCCTGGGCTCGTCACCAGCTGCTGGTTACAAAGTTCAAGGACGATGAGAGAGACGGAAGTTCTCCGTATGGTATGTTCGACAGCTTGGAGCCCACTGTCAACTTCACGTCGTTTCTGGCTGATGATGAGAGTATAATCGACCAGGTGAGACGCTCATATACAGATGAAGTCCATATGGTATTTTTAAAACACAATTATGGTTGATATAATTTTCGATGATGCTTCTGGAATTAGACAAAGACTAAGGATCAAAGGATCGAATAGTATCAAAGGGGCTTACTTTGCTTGAACATAAAAGGGTAATAATAGGTGACTCTGGCGTCAAATGTTGCTTTGATTATGCAAGGTATTGCACCCAGCTCTATTGTTTGTACCAAACTTCCAATCGTCTAAAACCAACGTCTCGTCTTGCTTTAAGTTCACATTAAAATGAAAAACGGTTCAGAGCGGTGTCAACCCAAGCAACCACCAAAGAAATAGATGTACATGATCCTTACTTACAACACCGAAACCACATAACAGCCATAATGATTTGATATACTTAGTCAACCGTTGCTAATGCTCAACCGCTGCTCTGCAATATATCTCCCAGGCCCATTTGAACATATTTCAAAGGAAATCCAAATCTGGGAATTAATGCTGGTATGGAATAGCTAGTCGTAAATAGTGAAAAAACACTTTGGACAATAATATTCATTTTCAACACTACAAGGTAGAAGTAAAATTCAGGTTACAATGATGTTTGGTTTTGTACTTCGACCACACACTTTTCATACAAAGGCCGGCGACCACTGACCAGTGTTCACGTAAGCGTTCAACTTTGTGGTTCGTCCGTTGTCATCCTATAATTGATATTTAAATTTTAACTGTGAGTGTATGTTGCTTTCAGGACCTCGTGCTCTGGATCCCAATGGGTACCCATCACATTCCACACACAGAGGATCTACCTGTCACCCCTACAGCTGGCTCTCATCTGGGCTTTTCCCTTCTTCCCTACAATTATTTCCCAGAATGCCCCTCTTCTCAGTCACGTGACTCTGTTAGAGTCGAGTATAAAGACCCAAGTCGTCCATCTGCCGGTCTTCGAGTTGAGAGATACGGTAACCAGGGAAAGACGCAGTGTGTTGCCATGTCACCGGATTATGACCAGCAAGTGTCTGATCGACCATCATCAATCCTACAATACCCTTAAGATGTGATGGGGAAAAAGAAACAGCAGTAATGTGTTAAACTGAAATTATATGAAAAAAGGACTTCTGGGAGGTTTTGGTTTCACAACATCAATTAGAAATACGGCAACGCTTAGAATATGTTGTGTGTTTTTTATAGTGTTTCATAAAACACAGAAACAATCAATATCATTTGACGGTGTTATCAGTCTGAGCCATCGCATTGGTGTATGGATGGATACTGTGAAGCATTTGAGTAAAAGGTGTAAATTACTGCCTGTGTATCATTACCTTTAGGGTCGGTGAGTCAAGTTTCAAGTCACCAATCTTCGGGATCTGTTCCTAACACTAGCGATGTGTGGAGCCCATGTCTGATAGGCTACTGCTGGAATAGTGCTAAAAGATGCGTAAGCCACACAAAACCACTCACACGTCGGGATTTAATGGCTTGCACTTCACTGTAAAAAAAATCCAAACCACCACACTGCACAGTTGCTTCCATAAAGGCTAGAATGGTTATAGGTTTACTCACTTACTGTTTTTCTCGATTTGGGAAAAAGTGTCAGTTTCCGTTTCTCAAATGCAGGACTTGTCCAAGTGGCTGAAGCTGTTTCTCCTTTAGTTCTCAGAGTGAATACTTGAACTATATATCATATATCTTGTCACAGTAACAAGAGAAACATATTTATAAGTACTTTTCTAATGGACAATCTTTTTCCTCTTGACATAATACAGTCAATATTGTCTGTCCTGAATCTATTTTGCATTCTGAACGAAAATGTGCATAGTTCTTATGTAAGGGTTCAAGCTATGCATGTAACGAGCAGGTCCTCCTTGCAATCAAACCTATCATGTGCCTTAGGCTGTACCGTCGGCGTTCATTTTGAGTATGTGGGGAAACAAGTTTTGTTACGTGAAGTGTCCATGTTTCGTGATGTGGGACACCAAGCAGGGTTGTGTCCCATGTTTGTTCAGTTTGCACGATCGTAACCACTAGGGCTGCGCAATATAACCGGTTTACCGGTATTTACCGGTTCAGACATGAAAACGATACGTATTGCGATACGCTGATCGAAAACCGGTATTTTGACATGCATTCGGAAAACTTCGTAACACTCGGAAATCTTCGGATATTTCCGTTTTTAATTGTTCTTTTCCCTGTTTCATTAGTGCCAAATGTTACTTACATTTTTATTTTGTCATGATTAAAGGTTTTATAAAAAAGGTTAATCAATCATAGTGAGTTTGTTGTGTTTTTGCTTTATAATCAAGCATTAACTCGATTATAAGTAGTTTTTGTTAACAAAATAATCCTTGCAATATATTGCAATACATATCGCAATATATGCTACCGCATCGCAATATATCGCAATATGAAAATTCTCTGCAATACCCACCCCTAGTAACCACTGTGTCACAAATCAATGACTGGCGTTATTTCGGGTTTACCCATAATCCCCCTTGCCTATACTACTAACACGTCGTGATATAAGACAATAGACAATAGCAGTGTGGTAGCCTAGTGGTTAAAGCGTTCGCTCGTGACGCCGAAGACCCGGGTTCGATTCCCCACATGGGAAGAATGAGTGAAGCCCAGTTCTGGTGTCCCCCGCCGTGATATTGCTGGAATATTGCTAAAGGCGGCGTAAAACCAAATTCACTCACTCACTCACTCAAATTAAAAAAAATAAACTGACAGATGGTGTAACAATAAATTTAACGCACTCACACTTGATATATCAATGAATTACTCACGCATTCTCGCACTCACTCACTCACACTTCTTCCTGATGTGCAGATGTTGCTCCAGCACCCGGTAATCCCATGCTAAACAATATATGTGAAGTAAACCGATGTACAAAAGAAAGTACACATCTGGTGATGTGATTAGATAACATTATCACTTGAGGCAACACACACAGTGATATAGACAAATAGACAAAATAATCTCTGGTTATACAGCCACCGTGGTGATCATCAGACAGTGGGCAAAATGTCGGTCAGGACATGTTCTCACAATTAGAAATTTCATGATATTTTCATTTCGTAACGTGAGTGAGTGAGTGAGTTAGCTTAACCAATATTCTCGAAATATCACAGCTGGTAACACCAGAAATGGGCTTCACACATTGTGCCCATGTGGGAAATCGAACACGGGGCCTTCGGTAAGACGAGCGAACGCTTTAACCATTAGACTACCTCACCGCCCCTCCCTTTCGTAACACGGGTTGCACGCCTTGAGCGTACTGAAAGTTAGTGAAGGAATTCCGGCGACTTAATCAGCTAGATGGCGAGTGTGTTGGATTCTAATATTGAATATTTTTTGGCCTTGACATCATTCGGTATTTATCGTCAGTTCACTCTCAGACAGTTTAGAGAAAAGTTTACGGTATGATTTAAATCGGTTTACACAGATACAAACAACTTTGGTTTGTTTGTTTGTTTATCCATTGACATGAAGCTCGGGTGCGTAATACCTATAGCCCAAATCGCATCTTATCCCCCCAAAAATAATGAAATTTATCCTAGATATAGACTCTCAGAAAATCAATACCAATAAGTTATTGAGTAGTATATATAAACTTGGGTGTATATTAAACTTTTCGAAATATAAAATTTACATCTATATTACGCCAGGTTTATGTTTTTATCTGTATACAAAAAGGTTTGTCGACCTCCTCGAACCGTGGTCTAGAGGATAGAGTGTCTGCCGGTACAACGGAAGGATGGCGGTTCGATCCCCTGCCTCGTCGTACCAAGAGACCTGCCTGGTGCTTTTAATGAGATCGGCTCGGAGTCAGTATGCCGTGTCTTATTGACGCTCCTTATTAAAACTGCGGAATGATATCTCAGTGGCATATAGAATAGAATAGAATAGAATAGAATAGAATAGAATAGAATAGAATAGAATAGAATAGAATAGAATAGAATAGAATAGAATAGAATAGAATAGAATAGAATAGAACAGCACTTTAATGCCTTTTCAGGAATTTGTGTTACATCAGCAGAGCTACTGACACATTAGAGAGACACCAAACATATTTACATAAATTCTTTGATTTAGGTATCTTCACATTTGTTTAAGAGAGATATGGTACTTGGAATAAAGGATGTACGGGCTCTCTTAGTTTTCACAATAGGAACTTTGTAGCGGCGGCCTGAAGGGAGGAGGTTGTATTACGAATTTAAGTAGTGAGTACGGTCAGATATGATTTGGACAGCTTGATTCACGATTTGCTGCTCATATATTGATGATAAACATTCAAATCTGACTCCAGCGATTTTACTTGCAGTGTTAACAATTTTGTCTAGTTTAGATTTGAGATGAACTGAGAGAGACGCGTACCAACAATGGAAGGAAAATGTTAAAATACTCTGAATAAATGCTACATAAAAAGATGACATCATAGATGGGTTAACATTAAAAGATCTCAGTTTACGCATGAGAAGAAGACGTTGTTGACACTTTTTGTATAGGGCTTCAGTGTTAGAGTTCCAGTTCAGCTTAGAGTCAAACATAATCTAGAAGATATTTTCTGATATAATTTTCACATAATTAGACCTTGCTCGGCGTGGGGGCAAATAATAGGGACTAATCAATAATTACTGGGCAGGGTTGGGTTTGGAGGGATGGGTGAATATATAACACTATAACAGCATTAGTCCGGGTTAGTACAAACAATTCCATATATGCGCACACACAAGACAAGCAAACAAACAAACACCGCGTCGCTACACAGGTTCAGATATCTTGAACAGGATTTCTCTTAAAGAGTGTTCCCGTAAACCCTTTAATTTTTGGTCCGTGCATAAGCCCGATAAAGTTTAAAATTAAATAACTACTTGAACGTTCCTTATATGAATACTGCCACACAGGTTATAATTATTGGGATTAGTCGAAGCTGCGTTAATCCCAAACTCACACACTCGCCGAGTGAGTAAATGAGTGAGTTTATCAATATTCCTTTCAGCAATATTCCAGCAATATCACGGCGGGGTACACCAGAAATGGGCTTCACACATATTGTACCCATGTGGGAAATCGAACCCGCGTCTTCGGTGGGACGAGCAAACGCTCTAACCACGATGCTACCCCACCGCCCCGAGTGAGGACTGAACTTATACAGTCAACCCAACATACTCGCTATGCTCCTCGAAATCATCCACCATACAGACAGACAGTTATATATTATAAATATTTAAGGCCAAAATGAAGAGTCTATTTATTTTCTGTATTGTAGACCACCAGTTGTATCTCTCAACTTACGGAAATAGGACCGCGATACATATTCCGGTCAGGCGTGACGCTGGATGATTCACATCTTGCTGTAATTAGCGTTTCACTTTCATAACTGCTACGCGTGTTATAAGGAACCTGAAAGAGGCATTAATCTTTCTCAAGTATATCAAACTATACTAAATTATGTAAACACGTAGATGTACATATGACAATCTACCGTTTGTATTTATCTTAAGTACTCTATCGTTTTAGTTATTGAACATATTCAACATTGTTATTTTATCTAGAAGATATTTTCTGATATAATTTTCACATAAATATCCCTTGCTCGGCGTGGGGGCAAATGGTAGGGACTAATCAATAATTACTGGGCAGGGCTGGGTTTGGAGGGCTGGGTGAAATTGTTCTCACGGCTGCATTATGTTTTACTGCCACGCCCATTTTATGTCACATTTTATTCACATAACTATGCTTTCGGTGACGCATTGCTACTGTGGCTATGAAAGTTGTTTTTTGTTGTTTTTGTAAATTCACTCCTTGCATATTTGAACATTCAAACAGCTGACATTATTTCGTTTTTCGCTAAAACCGATGCTACTTTTATAGAACTCGCAATCGCGGCTAAGCTTATTTTCTACACAACTAGCTATATATATGCATCTTCCGTTATGAAAGAAGTTTAATATATACTGTTTTATGAAGCTGATTACGATTTATGACTACAAACGTAATAAATAAAACTTTATCTAGGCATTGTGAGAAGTCTTTATGTAGAATTGTATAGAATGTTGGAATATTGTGCGAGGGAAGTACATCTAATATTATAGGTCACAGGCAAGTAGTATTATGCGGTCCATGCGTAAAATCCAGAAAGGTTGCGTGTGTGCCGGTATCTTGTCTCTGTAATCCTATTATTGGCTTTATAAGACATCAAGATGTGGTTTGATGAGGCCGGAGAAGTACTAGAAATGTTTAGGAGCAGTTTCCCGCTTTCATTTCTGTTTTTCGTTCCAATTTTAATCATTCTATCACCTGTGAGTCCAGCGAATGCAGCACAGGAATTTTCGGTTTTCAGGATGCAGCAGTACGATCTACAAGGTGTTTCCTACGGTAATGATGCGTGTACTTTGTCTTTTGTAGTGATATGGTGATTATTTATGTACCGACATGCCACGTATACAGGACTGAATGTGTGATGAGCAAAATTTGCATCCTGTAAGTTCATTTTGTTTGTATTCTCCAAAGGAATGGGTAAACATTTAAAACAAACATATCGGACAGCCATGTTTGTTGTACCCTTTGCACAGCCTCATCCTTTGGCCAAACTATGGAAAGCACATACCATAAAATCCATGCACATGAAGTCACGTTTGGGTAAATGTTCAGAACTCACCAATGGTTTCTGTTTTCTGAAAGTTGGTAGTTAGGGACCCATTTTGTTCTGGCGAGCTAGTAGGTCACATTGTACATGCTTCTCCATAAAAATCATCATCACACACACACACCCCTAGCCATAAATTATGAACGGTCCCTTATTACTACTGATGTGATCGAGAAATACATTCAGATGAAATTGATTACTGCCTATAAATGTAACTTAGCAGGGCTTTCTATCATGCCATCCTCTTAATAAACATTTATGTTATTTATATTAATTGTTAACAGATACTATATGTAACAAGCAATATGATATAAAAGTGAAATAAATACAAATCAAATCAGGGTATGGGTTAGGTAGACCCAAATCCTATCCTGAGTAACCATGTCCACCCAAAACAGTGGCAGCAACATTAAGATTCAATTTAACTTGTTGCCTGCTAATTCATTATAATGATAATTTTACTCACTATTTTTCATGTTGATGTTTTTCCCCAGGAAGCAAAAACTCTCTAATCAACATGGAAGCCCGCCCCATTGATGCCAAAATGTTAACCAGGCGCTGTGTGGTTGCTCGTTTGCGTGAAGTCACCATGCCCAAGTTCCGTGACTTGCTCACACAGAATGCTGGAGGGCTTGTCATACTTCTACCTGAAGATTTTAACTCTCTTACAGAAGAAGAGAAAGTGGTATGTTTTTAGTGATATTTTTTCACTCAATGTCATTTGGAAACAGTGTGGAGAAAAAGTATTCCATATTGACTTTTGAATCATGTAAATTGCTTCAATATTGATTTGTATTTAATAAAGTCATTTGTGCTTCAATTAATGAATTTTTAAGATATTTGCCACTTATTCATTCAAACAGAACGAAACCCTTGCTAATCTTGTCTTCTCAATAATCCCTGTTCAACAATCAGTCAATCTGTACAATAACTGGGCTAATTAATCAGGCAATGTACACAATACCTGGAAATTTTAGACAATGTGCACAATGACTGAGTGGATCAGGCAATGTACACATTGACTGGTTATTTCAGTCATTGTACACATTGCCTGATTGTAGACATTGACTGTAACATATATAATTACGTTATATGCCACTGATTTTCCAACACAGTATGTATTTTGTTAAAATCTTAACGCAGTTATGGTAGAATGGAGAAAAACTTACATTGTTGGAAGACCAGAGGTATATAACAAAATTATAGTAGCTCTAAATTTGATTTAAAACTGAACTGAACCAATGTTCAATGATTGGTCTGTCTAGCTATGTCTTGATTTATTACATGCTTAAATGTCTAATAATGGTAATACAATGTTCGCACAGGCTTGAAAAGCCTGAAATTCAGACATTTTACCTTAAAATGACCCTTGATTTGTTTTAACCCTGAAAAGTCCCTAGTTATTTGCTCTAAAAACACCCTATATTTAGCAAAACTTGTCAAGTTCTGATTTTACAAGAAACCAACATATAATAAAAATTCCTTGCAGTGACACTGATAGTGGGTGTTAATTAAGCACCATCATGAAGGAAAACTTTCCTAGTGCAGCGATGTAGTTAAGGGTTATTTTCCTCTGATAGTCGGTCCGACATTTGACCAACCTTGCATATTCAACTATGTATGTGTTGCTTTAGTTCCTTGAAATTGTTGATGGGGCCTTGAAAATCCCCGAGAAAGTCCTTAACTTTCATAATCCGTACGAATCCTGTTATAACAATAGCTTAGTGACAGTGATTGCAATATCAGAACATTAATTTCCTTAAAAGCAACTTTTTTCATGCAGCGTCTTTTAACATGTTTAATTATTGATTTACATCCTGTTGATTCAGCATCTGAAGGGTTTAGAGAGGGACTTATTATCAGAGGAAACAGTCCTTCCTGTGTACTTTGCGTATGAGACGCCTGAACTTGGGGAGATATATGACGACATCAGGCGTGGAAACTCAGGGGATCAGGCTCCGACTGCATGGGAAGGTATGTTCCCTTGAACTTGCAGGCTAAGTTTGTTTTTATGTGCACATTTTGTCTGTTGTATCAGTAGTCAAAATCATAATGTAGTTGCACTAACTTCAATTACCTGTGAAGGTCTGTGTTAGAATTGGTCTTCAGCAACCCATGATTGTCGTAAGAGGCGACTAACGGGATTGGGTGGTCAGGCTTGCAGACTTCGTTGACTGGTGTCATCTTATACTAGCAATGCTGATATTGTTGATCACTGGATTGTCTGGTCCAGACTTGATTATTTACAGACTGCCGCCATATTGCTGGATTATTGCTGCAAGCGGGTGAAGATTTTACTTGTTTTGGTTGTTACCCAGCTTTATTACCTACGATGGCGAACATATCGGGTTCATATTTTTCATACGATGCCTCAATTTGACGGCGGACTTTTCAGTAATAAACAGAATTGGGTTTATTTTCCTCAATTTGCGACTTCATATCATAGAATATGTGTATCATGCGACACGCGTGCCTAAATATTGGCATATCCCTCGATCTCGCTCGGGAAATACCAACATTTAGGCACTCGTGTCGTAAACATAGTATGACATGGGCACTCATATAATATCATCTATATATTGTCATTATTGTTGATGTGTCCAGATAATGGTAACAGATTGTGCATTCCTCATACAAGATTGCTTGCCAGTTATATGCTTAGCAGTGATAGATATTTTTTTTGCTGATGATAAATCACTCTTCATTTATGTATGCTCAGTTGTTTCAGTAATGTATTAATGTCAGCATCTTAAACTTTGATTATTGGCAACGCATTTCTCATTAGGCAAGTTACTTTGTGAGATGTGCCTGTTCTACCAGCAGTGCACCCTCATGAGCAGTTTGTGTTGTATCCTCCATAGGGAGCTGAGAATATAAACCAACTGATATGTTGATTTGGGTTATAGTATTGTTGCACTATACACATACACCCAAGAGAATTTGGCACACTATGGTAATGAGTATTTGTCATTATTTTTATAGATTCAGGGATTTACAGGACGTGAATATCTGTGTCCTGTATGCATAAAAATTGACAATGGACACAATAAAATTTATTAGCGTCCACAGGGACACAGAAAAAGTCCAATTACTTTTTGCAAAAATTTCAATCAAGTGACAATAAGTTATCACCAAGTTTGCTTCTAGCTGGGTTATGGTATTATTTGCAATTTAATTACTCAGTTACTGTAACAATGTGATGATCATGATACACAATACAATAACAGTATAGTATGACCAGAAATTATTGAGAATTTTAGGAATATGTTTAATTGGATTTCTAGTATAAACAACCTTGACCAGCTATCAAGTGCTTGGTTTCAGTCAAGAGAGACAACTCCGTTAATCCTTTTTCATTAGTTTGTGAAGAGTTATCCCCCTTTGTTTACTTGCTAGCAGACGACATTTTCAGTGATCCTCATTATCGATGATTTAGAGAAGAGGAAGTTGATTTTAGAGTATTATAACAAGGACATCAGATCAGCTAAAGTGATTTCAAGTAGAACAGGCATCCCTTTGTCCACTGTTTATCGTGTTTTGAAAAATATTGCAAATGGATATGGCATTGAGCACCAGGGAGGCGCAGGTAGGCCCAGAAAATTGACTGTCAGTGACAGAAGGCGACTTGGTATTCTTGTTTCTAAAAACAAACGAAGGAGTTTAGAAAACTTAAGGCTGGATATGATTGATAGAGGAACTGTGGCTGTCTGTAAGGAGACAATTTGAACTGAGCTGCATGCAATGGGTTGGCAGAAAAGTCGAGGAATTCCATCACCGATCATGAAACCTGAACAAAGGAGGAGAAAGGTTGAACTGGTGCTTACAGCATAGATATTTTAACTGGGACAATGTGATATTTCTCAGATGAAAGTTCTGTGTGGCTGTTTCCTAATACACTGAAATTCTGGACCAATCAAACTGAAAAACCTTTGTATCAGCGCCCAAAGTACAGTCCGAAATTTAATGTGTGGGGTGGCATATCTGTGTTAGGGGCAACGCCCCTCTGTGTATTTGAAGGGAATATGAACAGTGAGCGGTACACAGATATTCTTGAGGGACATTTACTTCCATCTGCTCACATGTTCTATGGAAATTTTTGGATTTTCCAGCAGGACAACGACCCAAAACATCATTCAAAGCATTCACAGTCCTGGTTTCAGACCCAAAATATGACATTATTAGATTGGCCAAGCTATAGCCCTGACTTAAATCCAATAGAAAATGTTTGGGGACTTATGAAGGAAAGTGTCAATAAGAAAAATCTGACAAATATTGCTGAAATGAAAGAAGAGGTGGTCTGATATTGGGACAGCATGGACCACAACTTTCTAACTTCTTTGATCAGTAGTATGCCCTGCCGCATTGAAGTCTTCATTGCTGCCTGCATTGCTGCCCATGGTGACTTGACAAAATACTAACTTCACCTGTCTTTGATTCTGGAGTTATGTTCTGCTAATATTCACATTTAATACGTGAGTAATGAGTGAAATTTTAAAAAAAAAATTACAATCTTTAAATTCTCAATAATTTCTGGTTGTACTGTATCAATAATAATATTTTAGTGTCTTGGACCCCCATTTTGTTGTCCAGGAGCCCTGAAAATTAAGAGTATGAGTCCCAGGGACCCTAAAATACAGGACTCCATGTAAATCCCTGAGATTGAAAATTAGTGTTTTGTCCTTGGTGATGCATCCTGACTGGGTTTTGTTTTCAGCCCTGCTGGGAGCAGCCACAGCAAATGGCTTCCAGATGTCTGTTACTGGAGCACAGTCAAAGTCTTTGCCGGACTTCCAGGTCACTAACATACAGGTGTGTGACTGATTGAATTACAGTGATCATGTTGAATATTAGGAGTGGTGGTGTAGCCTAGTGGTTAAAGCGTTCACTTGTCACTTGAAGCGTTCGATTCCCCACCTGGGTACAATGTGTGAAGCCCATATCTGGTGTCCCCCGTCGTGATATTGCTTGAATATTGCAAAAAGCTGTGTAAAACTAAACTCACTCGTCTTGAATTGGTTCATAGAAAATAAGTACAGCATGGGTAAGGTTTGTAACTTTGAAGATTCTGTAACCAGTACACTGTCATTACTGTCCAGCTAGTTTTCAATTGAACATTAAAGATTAGATTGTCAATATATTTAGTCTACCATGTCAATATATTTAATATACCTAAGCGACTTCCTTGTTAGGGAACAATGTTCATGATGTTGATCACTGGATTGTCTGGTTCAGACCCAATTGTTTACAGACCGACGCCATATAAAAAATTATGGCTGAGTGTGGCGTAAAGCTAAACTCACTCACTCACTCATTCTTTGTTAGAATTGTTCCTTAGCATCCCATTTGGGTCTCAAGAGGCAACTAAATTGATAAGTTGGTCAGGCTCAATGAATTGTTTGATTGCATTCTTTCAGTCATTGTACCATGATGGAAAGGACCATTCTCACAGTATCAATCACTGGAATATCTGGTTCAGTCTATTATTTACAGACTGCTGTAATATGACTGGAATACTGCTGAGTGCAGTGTTTAACAACAGGTGATCGGGTAGAAAATAAAAATAGTAAAGTAATTTCCCTGTTCAAGCCTTATAGTTTGCCTTGTTATTTCCAGGGACGTTTGTCAGGGAAAGGCATTGAAGAGCAGCTGCCTACTGTTGTCATTGTTGCACATTATGATGCAACTGGCGTGGCTCCGGTAAGTGTTCTTCAGAGATCACACCATCCAGAGTTTCCAGCCACTCTTTATCAAGCACAGTGCACTGTTTCTAAAACCATTGTGGCAACATGCTAGTGTTGTTGCTTTAGACTCTAAGCCAGGAGACCCGTGAATATCCGGGGTAGAATAGGTCTTCAGCAACCCATGTGCTTGCCATAAAAGGCGACTATGCTTGTCGTAAGAGGCGACTATCTGGATCGGTGGTCAGTTTCGCTGACTTGGTTGACACATGTCATCGGTTCCCAATTGCGCAGATCGATGCTCATGCTGTTGATCACTGGATTGTCTGGTCCAGACTCGATTATTTACAGACCGCCGCCATATAGCTGGGATATTGCTGAGTGCGGCGTAAAGCTAAACTCACTCACTCTAAGCCAGGACTTCAATTCTTAACATATGAAACTGATGAAACAAAAGGGTTGTACAATATTTAAGAGAATTATAGGATAAACATGGCATGATTAAAGTTACAGGAATCTGTGCATAGTATAAGTATTGAATACCCTAAAATGTTGCTGTGCAGATTGAAAGTGTCCATAGCTATTATTTATGCTCAATATTTGCATATGTGATTTCTCATTTACCTGGTTGTAGGCTATAGCGTTTGGAGCGGACTCCAATGGAAGTGGTGTGATAGCACTGATGGAGCTGGCAAGACTATTTGCAAAGCTGTACACCAACTCCAGAACTCATGCCAAGTATCCTTGCCTGTTGTGATCTTCGAAGCATAGACCTACTTGAGTGTTTTATTGTGGAGGAATGTCATTGTGTAGTGTAATTACTGTCATAGTAGCATGGGGCGGTGGGGTAGCCTAGTAGTTACAGCGTTGGCTCGTCACGCCGAAGACCCGGGTTCAATTCCCCACATGGGCACTATGTGTGAAACCCATTTCTGGTGTCCCCTGCATGGTCACAGTCATAAAATGCAATATACCCATGGAGGTCCAGATTAGAATATTGATCTTCAGTAACCCATGCTTGTCGTAAGAGGCGACTAATGGAATCAGGTGGCCAGGCTCGCTGACTTGGTTGACACATGTCATCGATTCCCAATTGCGCAGATCGATGCTCATGCTGTTGATCACTGGATTGTCTTTTCCAGACTCGATTATTTACAGACCGCCACCATATAGCTGGAATATTGCTGAGTGTGGCGTAAAACAAAACTCACTCACTCAATCATAAAATGCAATAATGTTCCTAATAAAACTTGTGGTTGCAGTTTCTCAAAAAGAATTAATGCATGCATCATTAAACTTGTATTTGCCACCTCTTGGATGAGGCTCATGGTGTTACGCTAATGACTCCACATGTACCCACATGGGTACAATGTGTCAAGCCCATTTCTGGTGTCCCCCTTTGTTGATATTGCTGGAGTATTGCTAAAAGCGTTCCATACTCTTTCATGAATGTCTCATTCTTAAGCATGGCTAACTTATTAGGAATAAAATCTTTCACAAATCCTATCTCAGGTAATGTCATCACACATCAAGGTCATCTTTGAGGTTGTTGTGAGACAGTGCAGTGTCATGGTTTCTCAGTTAATGTGGTGTATCTTCTGGAACGGCCTGAAAGATTTGTCTTGATTTAGGCCAGACCTGGAAGTAAAGTTTGTTACTGGAAGCACATGGTAATATATTTAGATTTTAAGCTTTGACGAAATGACAGCAAATTGGCTGCTTTTGCCTCAAGTTTAAGATAAAGTAGAGTTTGAATCATGCAGTTTGTTGTGCAAAAAATTTTGTATGCTCCTTGACAAATAAAGATACAACCTTGTGTTTCTGATGTCTGGAGGTGGCAAGTTTAACTACCAGGGAACCAAGAAGTGGATAGAAGACAATATGGAGGCTACAGGTACCCTATCAGATTCTGATGGGCGAACAACATTTTTCATTCAGCAAGCCTTCATTTTATGCGGCGGGGTAGTCTTGTGGTTAAAGTGTTTGCTCGTCACGCAAGATCCGACACGCAGACCCAAGTTCAATTCCCTTCATGGGTACAATGTGTAAAGCCCATGTCTTGTGTCCCCTGCTGTTACATTGCTTACATAATGCTAAAAGCAGCATAAACTCATTCTCTCATGTTGTGCTCATCTATCCCTACTTTCATCCCATGAAGGTGACATTATAACTCATATCACATGAGCATAAAGACCTACAAAGTTTTCTCTAGAGCCACTATTGAAATTTGATATTTGATTGTATGTTGAAGGCATAAAGACATAGTTTGAGTGTTTGGATTCATTGGAATTTGATGAAACTTTTGAACCAAATCCTGTCCTTATGACTTATGTTACCTTTACATTACAGACGGCAACCTGCTGTTGGATGTGGCTTATGTGATGTGCCTGGATACAATTGGAAACGGAGACACACTCAATCTCCACGTGTCCAAACCTCCCCGGGATGACAGTGCAGGGGCAGCATTCTTAGAGGTACAAGAGGCTGTCATCGATCATAGGCAACGATGTTGATCCAGTAGCAACAGTATTACTAATGGGGTGTGCACTGTGAAGTTCAAGGCTTGAACCGGTCTTCAGTGACACGTTTATTATCCCCTGACACGAAGAGAGAGGGGGATATTAGTTTGAGCTCAGTCAGTCCGTCTGTCTGTCTGAGATGATGGGGGACAGATTTTCTCAGAAACCGTTACAGATAATGAAACCAAATTTTGTGTTTTCAGGACATGAATGTCTTGATGGAGTTCAGTCTAAGTAAACTTAGGCTCAGTATTATTCGTTACACTGCTATACTGAGTCTAACAAAACCTTGTAGAAGGTCGCGTCAGCTAACCTTTTGGACTGACCAATCAGAACACAGCTTACCAAATCACGAAAGTTAACATTCACACATACCGTTTGAACTTTTACCTAAAAAACACGAACGATTCCGAATGCTTTTTTTCCACACGATCGCTTCCTAGTGATACACGCAATGAGTAAACAGTTGCTGAAAATAGCAGTTTTGTCAATAATCAAGGATGTCATCTTGCGAAAATATAAGCTAATAGTAACCATGTCATTAGAAACCCATAAGCGTATATACTGTAGGTCAAATATCTGTGTTTTATGCGGATTTTCGTTTATTGATAGGTCAGTGTCAGCGACCAGGGAAGAGAAAAATTACAAACCGTTTTGTAAGTCCTGCGAACCCTAACAAGTAGTCGTTGTCTGATTGGTTAAATCCGTTCAGCGATCTTGCGTTTGATTGGATGGTCATAGGTCGCTCAAAGGTTACCTGACGCGACCTTCCACAAAGTTTTGTTGTACTCAGTATGGCAGTGTAACGAATAATACTGAGGCCAAGTTTACTTAGACTGGATGGAGTTGGAAAACAGAAACTGTTACAATTTGTAACAGAGTTATTGCCCTTGTTGTGCGTTTCTTGACTTAGTGCACAGTAACCCCAATGGGGACAGATTTTCTCAGTATCCGTTATAGATAGGGAAACCAAATGTGGTATGTGTTTTCAGGAACATGAATGTTGTGGTGGAGTACCAAATAGGAACGGAACACAGTGGCAGGGGATGATCTTTTTGTTGTAAGAGGCAACTAACAGTACTCGGTGGTCAGGCTTGCTGACTTGGTTCATGCATGTCATCATACCACAATCATGTAGTTTAATGTTCATGATATCAATCACAGGACAGTCTAGTCCAGACTCGACTATATATAGACTATAGACCAGCTAGAACACTGCTAAGTATGGCATTAAGCAAAAGACAAACATACTACTAGGGGATTGAACAACATGAAATCGTGAAGTTAAAAATTACACCCTCCCAAAATCGGGTTAGCTACATGTGGTATTAGAAGAAAAAAAGTAATGAGCCTGTTTTGGTGTCCCTCTTTAGAACTTGGAAGAGGTGACGAAGGAACACTTCCCAGATGTTCAGTTCAAGATGGTCCACAAGAAGATCAACTTGGCTGATGAGATGTTGGCATGGGAACACGAGCGGTTCAGCATCAAGCGTCTTCCAGCATTCACCATGTCTCGCTTGGACACATACAAGACATCCGATAGAGGAACTATACTAGACACGAGGTGAGTGAGCGACACCTGACAAGACAACTATACAAGACTAGATGTGTACACAACAGGGCAGGTATACTCAACTCTTGGATGATATCAGGCATCATATCTAGCAGCTATAGTATCTTTCTGGCAAACAAGTCCTTTGGACCAGCAAAATATTTTCCTGGTTAAATTATTTCCACTAAATAGGCAATGAGAATTACCAGCAACTGTTCAGGAAACTGCCAAGTAAATGTTAGCGATCTGCACCATATGCGATACGTGCATGGAATTCCCTGTCTGTTTTAAGTAACAACCCCTGACAATTGTTGTGATTGGCTAGACACCTTGTTTAACCTCGACCCAGATGTTTATTATGTGAGAGGCATTTTGGCTTGAGGCTATAATGTATCAGAGAGAAAAGCCCTATTGGGGCCGGTAGTAAAACATTTAGGGAAGGGAAATGGATAATCAAGTTTACCGTTTGAAAATGGCATCTTCAAAGCAGCAGACGCTGTACGTTTTTTTAGGTTCTAAACGAAAATTAGATGTTATCGAGAAAGAATCAACTTCAGATTCCAGCCAAACAATGCGTTAAACAAAATACAAAAAATCCAGAAAATTCAATGAGTGGAAAGAGGAATTTCCATGGCTACGCTATGACCATCATGTACATTCGGGGGTGGGTGTGTTGTGATTTAGTTTTGGTAACATGTTGATTGACATGCAACAATGTACTGTCATTTCATATTTCATGTTCGATTGCAATTTAATACATTTATTATACCAAGCTGCGCGTTTAGCGCAAAGCAGGGGATAGAGTGTTAGGCTCTTTCCGTACATACTTACAAATTGGAATATCTTAAGAACTGTTGACTAGATTCTTTTCATATTTGGTGCCATGGTTCATCACAGTATGCGAAAGGTCCCAGTCAGATTTGGTAACCTTGACCTTCATTTCAAGGTCACAAAGAGACTTTAATGTGTTACCCTTGTCAGTGAGATATCTCAAGAACTGTTAATTTTCAAGGTCATAGTGACACTTTAAAGATTTTGGCTTGTTAACCTGCATGTTAAGTTTGTCAGCGAGATATCTCAAGAACCATTCACTGGACTTTCTTCATATTTGACACCAAGCGTCATCTAGAGAAGGCACAGGGCCCAGTTGAGTTTGGTGACCTTCACATAATTTTTAAGGTCACGGTGACACTTTGAAGATTTCAGCATGCTATCCTGTATGTTAAGATTATCAGCAGGATATCTCGAGAACGGTTCGCTGGATTTTCTTCATAGACTTTCAAGACTTCTCATGAACGTTTTTTGATAAGCAATTTCTTAATTACTATTTTAGCATATTTCATACACCATGACATTCATGTTCAGGTCAAAGTGAGTCTTGAAAATATTTGTGTGTTTGAACAACTAAAGAGCAAGATATCAAGAGAGGTTGACTGGTCATGTTTTTGTTGACATTTAACTTCATCTTAAACAAGACCTTCACTTTCATTAATTAAGTTTTATATGATAATTTGCGGCAGGAGATTATGTCACCTTATTGACAATGCTTGCTTTTATGAAATGAAACACAAACACACACATAGTCATGTTTTTATCTTTATTAAAATGGAAGAAGTGAACTGGTGAAATTAATAAGGGACTGGTTTATTTGAGGCTTGGGACTGGAAATTTGAAAATCACCGGAAACACTGTTTCATCAATACAGAATTTGAAATTCTTTTTCACAGAGATCGTCCTTGGGGTACATATATGCATTTTCTGCGGCTGAAAATGTCATGTGACAGTTGTATCAATGTTTTAATAAAAATATTGTACAATAAATAAAAATCTTTTTTATCTATTATACGGCCCCCACCACGTGGAGTTACCTCCCTTCTACGCATGCGCAGCCAACCGGGTAAGCACCTAGGCCCATATCATCATTCCTTCTGCTGTTTCTCAAGCGTTCACACGTGTTCCGAGTTACTAGCTGATTTACTTCTCTTGTGAAGAATGTCTGAGACTTCAACAACTGTATGTATGGTCTTTATTTGTTCTTGTAAAAGAAAAAGAACAGTTTTATTGACTTTGCAGGCTGTTATATCTCATTTATGTGACTTTGTATTAAATTTTACGCTAGCTTTGCTGTGGTTTATGCATGTGTTGCTATTCCATGGCGGGAAGTTTAGCGTGCCACGTGGTTGAAATATTACGTTATTAACCAAGTATTTCATGTCGCGTGGTCGCATTCACGTAATTTTCAATGTTTTGTACATGTATATTTATGCTGCTGTGTTCGGCCGTTAGCTACATGTTTGCGTGTTAGCTTTCAGGCGTTTACTGGGTGTACTGTCTGCGGGCAGAATATCCCAAGAGCTGATAAGCATGACAAATGCTTGTGCTGTTTGGAGAAAGCAGGGCATAACCCTGAAATCTGCGAACTGTGTATGGCCTTTTCCCCCCGGGCCCAGAAGAGACGGGCGGCTGATTTCCTTTTTTATAAGGAATTGCGGAAAGCGGGAGGGGAACTGACCCAGGAGGTTCCCCTGTCCAAAGCCAAAAAGGCTAAACAAGCCAAACCCTAAGTCACATTCCCAATCTCAATCCCAATCTAGTGGTTTTGATATGTCAATCATCACTCAATTGTTTCAGCAGCTTATGGACTCCGTGAAGTCCTTTGTTCATGAGTCCGTTGGAGGTCTCTGCCAGGAGTTCCTCGCCAACAGTCCGGGGGTGGGATCCCATCTCGGTGCTGGTGCAGGGTCCGTTGAGGATTCCTGGGGTTCCGGTCCCTGCGCCAACCAGCCCCATGAGAGCGGAGGAGCCGGTTCTGTCTGGGCTTCCTCCTTTGTCTCAGGACCGGGGTTCGAGTGTTGTGTCGGTTGCCGGAGCGGAGAGTTCCCTCGGCTCTTCCCTTCCCACGGCGTCTGTGGCTCAGCCTCCCACCGGGTCCGGGTTCGGCTCCTCTTCACGTGGAGACCCAAATTCTGACGCGGGCTCGGGTGCCAAGTCTATGGAGGTTGGGGAGGTCGAGGAGTCAGAGGGTACTTTCCGTTTCTTGTCGGCTCCCGGGAGGTTAGGCAACGTATTCCCGAGTATATACCCCAAGCCGCGGTGCCGACATGTCGCTCGGACTCGACTGAGTTCCGCCTGCCAGGTGAGGCGTTTGCCCATAGGCAACCCTCGCAGACACAGCTCCGTATCTTGCCTTTCCTGGTGCAGGACGTGATGGATCCCCTCCTGGTTGGGTCACGCCTCCGGTTTGATTTACCTGAACTTGTTAAGAGGTACCAGCTGGGGGATGATTCTCTGTTCTTTGTGCCGGTGGTTGACGAGTGCGTGTTCACTTCGGTCACCCTCGGGGGAGGCTCGGCTTCCTCAGGTGCAGCCCCGGCTGCTAAGCAAGGGCGGTTAGTTCCACTGTTTGCCCTAGCAGGCGCCCCCCTGCAGCAAGCATACCGGACTTATGAGGAAGTCTACCGGAATGCCATGCAGCAGGTGCGGGTAGTGTTCCACGAGGCCTACCTTTCCTCTATCTAAAGGGGGGCGGTGGGGTAGCCTAATGGTTAAAGCGTTGGCTCGTCACGCCGAAGACCCGGGTTCGAATCCCCACATGGGTACAATGTGTGAAGCCCATTTCTGGTGTCCCCCGCCGTGATGTTGCTGGAATATTGCTAAAAGCGGCTTTAAACCAAACTCAGTCAGTCAGTCAGTCTATCCAAAGGTCGGCTCTGGAGGCGGAAGGGAGCACTGGGGACGTTTCACCAAATGTTGTTCTGCTTCGCCAATTATCCAAAGTGCAGGCCCACCTGACGCAAGACTCTTTGCGGTCTGCCGCGTCTACGGTGATGTGCGCAGTCATGGGGATGCGCAAGCTGTGGCTGTTTACGTTCCATTATTGGGCAGTAACACAGCAAACCATGCTGGCCCTTACGTTTCGGCTGGGAGCGACATTGTTTCTGGGGGCGCAGCAGGTCATTCGGGAGGCTGCTGTAGCAGCTACCTCCTTCAAGGCCTTGTTGGAGCAACCGCGGGTTTCTCGCTCCTACGCTCCCATAGTGAGTTCTTCCTCCGGGGCGCAGCCTTCGCCCGAGTCTGCCAGCTGGCTTCGGCTGCTGGGTAGAGGTAGGAGGAGGAGCTCCCAGCAGCCTTTTCGCGGTCGCGGGGGTCTGCCTCGACCTCCCGTTAAACCTACAGGCTGTCGCCGTGGGTCCGTCCCAGTCAGTTCATCTGCAGGGGACCACTCACGCCCTCTTACCAAACGTCCCAGTGGGAGGCTGCCTCACTCTATTCCTGCCGGAGTGGGAGAAGGCTACCGGCATACGTCGTACTCCGGTGCCGTCATGTCCGGTCAAGGCGAGTATACTGCGAGACGAAGTTCAGGCCTTGCTGGACAAGTCCGCAATAGAGCGCATACCACCGCGCGAGGAACAAGCGGGGTTTTATTCCACGTACTTCCTCGGACGGTGGGTTCCGTCCCATTCTCAACCTCAAGGGGTTGAATCGCATGCTAGAGGTTCGATCCTTCCAGATGGAGACACTCCGCTCAGTGATCTCTTCTGTTCAGCCAGGCGATTGGCTTACGTCGATCGACCTAAAGGATGCGTATCTACATGTGCCAATTCATCCATCCTTCAAGCAGTACCTCCGGTTCTCTTACGACGGGATGTATTACCAATTCACAGTGCTCCCCTTCGGCATATCCACTGCCCCCAGGGTGTTCACCAAACTCATGTTAGTGCTGACCTGGTACCCACCCAGGACTTGGTTTTTTCTCGGAGCGCGGTTCACAACTCACAAGGGTTTTGTCTCTTTGTCGCCCGACCAGGTCACCAGAGTACGGGAGGTGGTGTCTTCGTTCCTCTCCCAGCCCCAGGCACCAGCGCGGACTTGGCTCCGTCTAATGGGTCATATGGTGGCAACAATCTCTGTAGTGTGGCGGGAGCGGTTGAGGATGCGCCCTATACAGCAAGCTTTGGCGAGTCTGTGGGCTCACTCGGAGGATCTGGAGAAGTGTCTCACAGTCCCTTGGTGGTTGTCTCCTCACCTTCAGTGGTGGACCAATGTCGGGAATCTCTCCAAGGGGTGTCCCTTTGGAAATCCCGACGCTAGCTCTTACAGTTCAAACCGATGCGTCCCTCACGGGCTGGGGGGGTGTTCTGGGCAGTCCGTTGGTGTCAGGACTCTGGTCCGAAGCCGAAGCCCGCATACACATCAATGTCTTAGAACAGAGCTATGCGGTTGGATTTCGAACGCTTCCGGGAGCATGTTCAGGGCCAGGTGGTTCGTCTTCAGTTGGACAACCGTACAGCCATGGCGCACATCCTGAAGCAAGGCGCATGGTGTCCCTAGCGCCCTTCAGGAGGCGGGAATTTCTCCTATGGTGCGACCAGTCGCGGCTGTCAGGTGCTTCCGTTTATCTCCCCGGGCTGGAGAGCGTGCGAGCAGACGCTCTCTCTCGCCGGATCCTGGCCCCGCACCTGTGGATGCTCCCCCGGCAGATATTCGGAGTTATCTCCCAGTTGTACGGATCGTTCCAGGTGGATCTGTTTGCGTTCGGCGGGACGAATCAGATACCCGTGTTCTGCTCTCGAATACCGGACCAGAGGGCGTTGGCTTCCGATGCCTTCCTGCTGGATTGAACGGGCAAGGTGCTGTGGGCGTTTCCGCCTCTACCACTAATTCTCCGGGTCCTCTCCCAGCTGTCCACCCAGCCAGCTCGGATACTTGTGCTACTGGTACCGCTATGGCCGTCACAGAGCTGGTTTCCGGTTATTCTCAGGTTTCTGGCTCAGCCTCCTGTTCTATTACCTTTGCGACCGGACATTCTCACTCAGAACGGCGCGCCATACCCCAATCCAAGCATTCAGTGGGTGGCTTGGCCTCTGTCAGGTCTAGCCTCGAAGCACGCGGAATTCCTGCAGCAGTTGCAGACACAATTCTGGCTTCAAGGCGGGATTCGACAAACGTTAAATATGAGGATAGGTGGTCCCGCTATGCGTGCTGGTGTTCAGATAGGGGGATTGCAGATCCCTTTTCTGTGGATTTAGTCCGAGTATTGGAGTTTTTGCAAGCTCGTTTGGAAGAAGGCTTGGCGGCTTTGACCATTCGTGGCTACTCCACCGCTATTTTCACTTTCCACACCCCTGTCAATGGTGCTCTTCCGGGGCAGCACCCTCTTATGCAGCGCTTTTTAGCTGGCGTGGATCGGGTTCGACCTGCTGTCATGCTAACCAGCCCACAACTTTTTTTTAATTTTTTTTTTTTATGTTTTTATTCCCAGAATTATGTTTACAGACTTTACCTCAGTAGTACAGTACAGGTAGCTTCTTAGTATGCAAGTACAGTGTTTCTTTGATCTCATTGTCAAATAACATGCTGTTCACATATATGTAAAAAGCGGTCAAAACTAAGCATGTATATGAAGTGTTTACAGGTTTACAGATTTTACCTCGGTAGTACACAGTACAGTACAAATAGTTTCATTGTACACAAGAACAGTGTTTCCTTTGTCATTCACTGTAACATCATGCTGTTCACAAATATGTAAAAAATGGTCTAACTAAGCATGTACGTGAAGTATTACATGTTTACAGACTTTATCTCAGTAGTACAGTACAGTACAATACAGGTAACCTCATAGTACATAAATGTGTAAAATGGTCAAACTAAGCATGTATATGAGTGTTTACAGATTTTGCCTCAGTAGTGCAGTACAGTACAGGTAGCCTCCTAGTACACAAGAACAGTGTTTCCTTGATCATATTGCTGCCAACCAACTTCCTACTCTTACCCAGCCTTCCACATCGGGGACCTCTGCAACGAGCACTCACCCGTTAGATGTCCATAATACTCTCAAGGTCTATATCAAATGAACACAAGGGATCCGTACGGGTACCCATCTGTTCTGCTGTTACGGTGGCGGGAAGGCTGGCATGCAGGCTAGCAAACAGACCCTATCACGCTGGCTTTATCCGTCATTTGTGCTGCTTATCAGGCTAAGGGCAAGCCTCCCCCTGAAGGGTTGAAGGCTCACTTGGTCAGGGCAGTGGCCACGTCAAAGGCTTTTGCATCGGCACTGCCCATTGAAGAGATATGCTCTGTCGGTATTTGGAGCAGGCCTAGCACTTTTATCAGGCACTATCAGCTTGATACACATTATCGTGATCGTGCGCGTTTTGTCCGTTCTGTTCTCTCCAGTGGACAGTGTCCTGCCACCCTGACCGAGTGAGTCTTGGTTATCTGGACAGTTGACGCTGCTTTCAATTGATATATCATTGATATATCAGCTGTTATCATATCTAACTACTTTTGATTTTCTCTCTTGAGATTATGGTCGGTTGTGAGTTGGTTTTCCCCTTTTCAGTGCTCTTTAATAGATTCACGATGTGGGCGGGTTTTTTTTACTTTCGCACTGTGTGTGCTTTGCTTTGCTTAACCTGTGAGGTCGGGTCTCAGTACTTTCCTCCCTGTCGGTTACCCTCCCCTCATGCCTCTTGCGGAAGCTTCGGGACACGTGACAGGTGAGTGTTGTGGCGTCTGTTACATTCTTCCTAACGATCACTCTTTATATTTACTTTGACAGTATTCCCTCCTCCCTAGCCTCCGGTCTTTGGGAGTCTGAGTTAATGCATATATGTACCCCAAGGACGATCTCTATGAAAAAGAATTAGCTAAACCTGTAGAGGTTTCCAATTCTTTGAAGAGAATCGTCCTTTGGGTAGAGCCACCCACCTCCCCGCCATTTTGTTCCCTGTTTTATTCAGCATAAGGAATGATGATACGGGCCTAGGTGCTTACCCGGTTGGCTGCGCATGCGTAGAAGGGAGGTAACTCCACGTGGTGGGGGCCATATAATAGATAAAAAAGATTTTTATTTATTGTACAATATTTTTATTAAAACATTGATACAACTGTCACATGACATTTTCAGCCACAGAAAATGCATATATGTACCCCAAGGACGATTCTCTTCAAAGAATTGGAAACCTCTACAGGATTAGCTAAATTCTATGGCCTGTGAAGCATGCTGTTCACCATTAGTTTTGAGATGATTTCTGATTGCTTCATATTCCCAATTGTAAATCCAGCGTGTCTGTTTCAGGGGCAGTGTTGATGTTGCCCGTCTTAGTCTTAACATCCAAGTCATCGCAGAAAGTCTGGCCCGCCATATCTACAATCTGTCGAGCCAAGGCAGCTTCAAGCTGTTCACAGAAGGACTGGTAGGCACATTAGATATTACGTCATGTAGACTCTCACCGAGCATATTTACTTACATCAAGTTTCCGTGTTGAATGATATGCTACTTTTTGTTGCCATGTCTATCGCTCGGCATTACTTAGATAAAACAAGGACTGAATGCAGCAGAATTAGACAAGTTTGTCTGAGTGGAGTATCCATGTTACACTGCTGCATTACATCTCAGTGGGATGGCACTTCAAGCCAGGGTTGTGAACCAGTCACTGTCTAAGTGCCAATATCTTGAATACATTTCACCACTCCTGAGACTGCATCGGGTTTGACAAAGTGTACCTAGCAAGTGTAGAGTGTAGATTCTGATGGACAGTGACCATATTACACAGTAATTATGGAGTATATTGATTGCTACAAAGCCTGTTAAGGACATGATTACACAATGCCATTTAGAAAAGTGGTCAAATGTAACATATGTTATATTTGGAATTACACTTTCTTTGTAAAGTACAGATTCTACTGTGAGACGAACTTAAGAATAATGCTTACCTGTCATTTGAACCTGTGAATCTGAATAGCGGTGCAGTTCATTTTACCATTAAGGGGCCGAGGGTATGTAAAGCGATAAACTGCTGTGAAGCGTGTCAGTGTACTCTCGCTCTTCTGGGAACGGGTTCTATTTGCCATTTTGCGGTTGACGATTTCCATACACAACCCAATACAACACTCGAATTTTTTGTGTGTTTAACGATAAAAAAAATAATACCAAAGGTTAATTTCTGTCCTAGCCTATAGTTTGGCATGAAATGCATGTGGACCCGTTTTTTTGTAAATATCTCTTCATCCAATGACCCAATCGATCTCAAACTGCAAGTGGATGTTTTGTCAGACAACCTAATCACATTGTAAATCACCGATTTTATGCATTTGTATTAAAGAATCTGTCTATGTAACTGTCAACAAAATAAACAGCAGACCGCAGAATGCTTGCAGAGGGAGGGAGCCAATGACCTGTAACAGCGACAGTGTTGGGTCATAAAGGTCAACGTTCGTCAATGTAGGTCAGCTATGCACGTGACAGGTATGAAGAGGTGTTCATTTCTAGAAAATAGCCGGCGAATGTCATCTCTGATGACCCTGATGTCAAAAGAATCCAACTTTGGATGCCTACCTTTTTGTACAAGGTTTTGTTTATTGGTCGTTGGTTTATTTTTCACAATTTTTAGCACGATGTTCTTTTTCATGCCAAGAGCAAAAGTTGTACGTTTCATGTAATCCGACACCTTATAAATCGGTTTGCTACGTTTGCTCTCTTTTTAAAAAATATTTAACACATTTTTAATTAAACGTTTAGTATCATCTGAATAAGCTTTCATGATGACAGCTAGAAGTAGTCACTGTGAATGATCCAAACGGTCTATCACTGTGCAGTGCACAGGTAACTATCATGAACTGCACGCATTTACTTTTTGGCTCCTCCCTCTGCATGACATTGATTTACAATGTGATTAGGTTTAGTTGTGACAAAACATCCACTTGCACAGTTTGAGATCGATTGGGTCATTGGATGAAGAGATATTTACAAAAAAACGGGTCCACATGCATTTCATGCCAAACTATAGGTTCTGTGTGTGTGAATATTTTATGGATAATAAGTTTGTGCTGTCCTCGAGGGAATGAAATAACGCTATGTAAATTCAAAACAGGGTACTAATAAATAAAACAAACAAAACTTAGTTCTTTGATTGCTCAGTGGTAGTTGATCTGCTATTTGCTACATGTTAGTCTCTTGAATCTGCTACTCATCATCAATATGACTTATATCACGGTCATCAGTATCGATGCCAATTTCGATGACAAGTTTTTCGATTTCATCTTTTAGGGCAATTTCTCGATGCCAGTAACGATCCTCAATTTCCATCACATGTCTGCAGCAGTCTGACCATTCCTTCTGGCCAATAGATGACAATTGTTCTTCGCAAGCCCTCTGTACAGAAGCCATTTTGAAGTCTAAATTCAGGGACCCAATCCAATTTTTCAAATTCGCCCAAATTAATTTTATGACATTGAAATCGGCGTGATAGGGAAGTAATCGGAGAACAGTATGCCCATGGGTTTTCAGAATTTCATCGACATGATATACGGGGCCGCGTGGACGGATTTCACAAGTGCAAGCAAGTTAGCCTTCAACATTGAATGTGTAAAAGGTATATCATGCCTTTGTACCCACGATTTGATTTCATCTTTCCTCATCAGTTGGAGCTTTGTCTATTTGTTTGCTATGGTAAGGGGCATTGTCCATTACAACTACTGAGTTTTGGGGCAGATTAGGAATAAGTTTTTCTTGCAACCACTTAGAGAAATTGTTGAAATTCATTTCGTCATGGTAACCCCTCACATGTAATGAACCAGCATGTACCCAGCATGGACAATAATTAATTTTGGACCTGTCCGCGATGGTACCAGATATACCACCAACTGCTCCCTCCCTCATCAGTTTGCCAACATATTGATACTGTGTGTGATGGGCGGTACCCATGTTTCGAGATATACACGATTGGACGGTTTTCTTTACGGTACTGGCAAATCATTCCGAGATATCTCAAACGCCATGCAACAATGTCTTTTCGCGCCATTAGGACCTGTCTGTCTGAACGAGTTTTCCGCCGTTTGAAACCGATTTTCTGAAACATTTACGCATTGTTTCTTTACTCCCTGTATATCCCAAATCATCAGTAGCCATTTTCATAATGCTTGTCAGTGTTGGCATTGTCTTGGTTACTGTGTAGCAGTGTTGAATGTACTGGCGAATTGCGCATTTATCAAAATCATCAAATTCAATTTTCCCTTTGGTACGAGTACGCACTTTCCCTGGGCTTGTGAACTTACTGGTACCCATCGCGGGAACTCATTTACCTTTGTCATTTATTTTGCGCAAGGTACTGACAGATATACCAGTAGCATCGCTGGCTTTTTTGGGTGCACTCTGTGTGCTGTCGGAAATAGTACACATGTACTGAATGATATTGTAGGCAACCTCACGTGTTTGTGAATGAATGACTTGACCCTGTTTACCCAATTTAGAGTGCGACATGATAAGTTTCAAATACCTGCAGAGTTTAATACCCTTTTAACAGTCCACTTTGCAAGATGCTAGTATACAAATGCTCGAGCAGAAACACGACGCTTCCGAATCATTGCGTAGAAAGTGATTACTGCAAGGATCACAAAAATCATGTGCGCGAAGTTTTCACACCTGTTCCCCCTTCTAGTTGGTAGTGGATCAGTTCACGGCACGTTCCCCCCTCTCCTTTCACAAACGCGTCTTTCGCGCGCCTCATTCTAATGTTGGTTGGACAGTAGTACCTTTTTTTCGGGTTGAGTCCCATCCGGGATTCGAACCCAGAGGGTATGGAAGTGGAAGTCGTGGTGGCTGAGCGGTTTAGGCGGCTTTGTGTGCTGGTGATTAGGTGCCTGATGTTGTGTGCTGGTGATTAGGTGCCTGATGTTGTGTGCTGGTGATTAGGTGCCTGATGTTGTGTGCTGGTGATTAGGTGCCTGATGTTGTGTGCTGGTGATTAGGTGCCTGATGTTGTGTGCTGGTGATTAGGTGCCTGATGTTGTGTGCTGGTGGTTAGGTGCCTGATGTTGTGTGCAGGTGGTTAGGTGCCTGATGTTGTGTGCAGGTGATTAGGTGCCTGATGTTGTGTGCTGGGTGATGTTGTGTGCTGGTGATTAGGTGCCTGATGTTGTGTGCAGGTGATTAGGTGCCTGATGTTGTGTGCAGGTGATTAGGTGCCTGATGTTGTGTGCAGGTGATTAGGTGCCTGATGTTGTGTGCTGGTGATTAGGTGCCTGATGTTGTGTGCAGGTGATTAGGTGCCTGATGTTGTGTGCAGGTGATTAGGTGCCTGATGTTGTGTGCTGGTGGTTAGGTGCCTGATGTTGTGTGCTGGTGATTAGGTGCCTGATGTTGTGTGCAGGTGATTAGGTGCCTGATGTTGTGTGCTGGTGATTAGGTGCCTGATGTTGTGTGCTGGTGATTAGGTGCCTGATGTTGTGTGCTGGTGATTAGGTGCCTGATGTTGTGTGCTGGTGATGAGGTGCCTGACTCTGAGGATGTGGGTTCGAATCCTGGGTGGGACAAAACCCAACAAAAAGTACTAGAATCTGTACTTTACTAAGAAAGTGTAATCCCAAATATAACATGATACTGTTAGGGGCAGTGGGGTAGCCTAGAGGTTAAAGCCTTCGCTCCTCACGCTGAAGCCCCGGGTTTGATTCTCCACATATGTACATGTACAATGTGTGAAGCCTGTTTCTTGTGTTTCATGCTATTGCTATAAGGGCATACAACCTTACTGACTCACTCACCCGTGAAGGTCAGGGTTAGAATGAACCTTCAGTAACCCATGCTTGTCGTAAGAGGCGACTAATGGGATCGGGTGATCAGGCTCGCTGGCTTTGTTGACACATGTCATCGGTTCCCAATTGCGCAGATCGATGCTCATGCTGTTGATCACTGGATTGTCTGATCCAGACTCGATTATTTACAGACCGCCCCCATATAGCTGGAATATTGCTGAGTGTGGCGTAACACTAAACTCACTCACTGACCCACTCACTACAAAGCCTGTTAACAGTCAGTGTGGTGTGTTTAGAATGTCCAGGAGAGTGTCCATACTGCGTGGATGGACTTCTTGACCAACCAGTCCCGTGCTGCACAGCTTTTGTCCAAAGAAAATCCAGTCCTGGCCACCTTGGAAGAGACGTTCTCCAGGTACCTGAAGGACGTCAAGAAGACCCTTGTCAAGGCTGACAAGAGGTAGGAATAATTCCAGTTGATACCAGTTATGGATAGAGATCCACAATATATTTTAGACGTTTTTGTGAATATTTAAAGAAATATGACCTAATTTTCTAAGAAAAAAAGCAATGCCATTTGTTACTTAAAACATTGACAAGAAAAGCAACTATGGAAAAAATTGTGCTTTTCTATCAGTTGAATAGGAGCAACTAAACATTTGTTTGTTTTTGTATCGTATTGATGGTTTGAGTTGTCAATATATGTTGTCTTCAATATATTTTTGTATTTTGGGATTTGTAAAGCATATAAAGACAAGTCTTGTGTACATGTATCTTGCCAGAGTACATCTAATCAATATGATATGTGTCTTTTTGTCAGAGATCCAGAGTTTCTCTTCTACAATGGTGCTGTATATATAATGAATGCTTACAAGTAAGTTTTTAGCTGAATATTTTCAATATTATACCTTTCTTTATTTGCTGTGTAAACTTGGTAGCAGTCATGTAACTGTTGATTCACAATGACAAGTACTATAATCTAATAAACTGGCTCAAAAATGAAGAAAACATCTTCATATCATGGTGTATTACTGTAACTTTGTTAGACTCACACTCGACCAGAAATAGAGAAGGTTAGATAGTGTTAATGCATACTCTTTTTTATATCCATAGTAACTGAAGGGAGCGTTCCCTATTATGATGTTACATTTCCACCTTCAGTGTGAAACCAGCAGTATTTGACCTGTTCCTGGCTGGAGCCATTGGGTCCTACCTCGCAGTTGTCTACATCTTTGCTCAGGTCAGTATAGCTGAACCCTAAAATCTCTGGTCTAGTGAGAGCCTGGGGAAGGGAATGTCAGTGGTTTGATTCTCGCTTGTTATAGTTATAGCAAATAGGATATATAACCGATTCTCCAGCTCAGAGTATACGTAGCCTGAGTTGGTGGACCATGTAAAGCTGCATGTTGGTCTGTCAGTGGGCTGGTTTAGACAAGCATAAGCAGTGACTCCTGCATGCTGTTTCGGGGATGAAATAACCTTATATTCAACACTAAACCTCATTTCACGTCACTTTTGAAACTCGAATCTGATGATTGTTGTTCAGAACATGCACGCACACACTTTCTCTTTCTCTCTCTCTCTGGGTTTCCTTAGACCAATAAGCAGTTGATGATGCAGTGAGCATTTCCTCTGGCGTTAGGCAGACGTGACACGACTAAAACACTCACTCACTTGCTCACAAACTCACAAACTCACTCAATTCATGCAACTACAAGATATGTCAGTGTTACTTTCTCCCGTTTGCAGAACTTTTATCGTGTGTACCAGATGTTGAGACAGTATATCGGAAACTCCAAAGTAAAGGCAAGCTAAAGTGAGTATATATGATATTGTCTCTTGATTTTGTTTTGGACAGTAATGCTTGTAATTGATGTTTCAGAAAAAGTAAATCTTTTTTATAAATACCACCATTATGCGTAGAAGTACATTAAAGGAAGGTCATCTCAGGTGTACTGAAGTCTCCATTAAGGGACTGTGGGGACTCAGTGGCAGGGATTTCAGGGGTCTGAGGGGATTCTATTGTTGGGACTGGTTGATTCTATTGTTGGGGACCGAGAGGATTCTATTATTGGGGTCTGAGGGGATTGTGTTGTTGGGGTCCGAGGGGATTCTGTTGTTGGGGACTGCAGGGATTCTGTTGTTGGGGACCGAGAGGATTCCAGAGGCCCAGATAAGCTGCGTATCCGGGTAAAATACGCGTAAAATACATAGAAAATTTCGAATTACGCATTGAAAAATAATTGGGGTCTGAGGGGATTCTGTTGTTGGAACTGGTTGGTTCTATTGTTGGGGTCTGAGAGGATTCTGTTGTTGGGGTCCGAGAGGATTCTGTTGTTGGGGACTGAGGGGATTCTGTTGTTGGGGACCGAGGGGATTCTGTTGTTGGGGACCTAGAGGATTCCATAGGCCCAGATAAGCTGCGTATCCGGGTAAAATACGCATAGAAAATTTCGAATTACGCATTGAAAAATAATTGTTACGTACCAATTACGCATTTAAAATGTTAGATACACAAAAAGTTTAAAACAAATGCGTATGGAATATATTATAAAAATCGCTTGCGTAATGAAAACGACATCGATTGCTATCAAGTTGTACTGTTAGTATAGGACTAGTGTTGTACTGTCAGTATTGGATAAGTGATTTTTTTTATGAAATCATTTCCATTATATTTAAGTTGGTTTTGATTAGGTATGATATAAGGCAGGACATACCTGCTTAGTAAACTTACTCAATGACATAAAACTTAGGTGAGTAAGATGACTGAAATACGCACATATTTGAAAGCAGTGGGTAACGGAAAATGAAATACCCACTCAACATTCATAATACCCAATCCAAAAAATTACAGTGGGTACAGTACCCACATGAGCTAAATCTTATCTGGAGCTCTGAGGATTCGGTTGTTGGGGACTGAATGGATTCTATTGTTGGGGACTGAGGGGATTCTATTCTTGGGGACTGAGGGGATTCTATTCTTGGGGACCGAGGGGATTCTATTCTTGGGGACCGAGGGACTGGGGATTCTATTCTTGGGGACTGAGGGGATTCTATTGTTGGGACTGGGGATTCTATTGTTGGGGACTGAGGGGATTCTATTGTTGGCAGGAATTGCTGAGGGACTCAGTGGCAGGAATTGCTGAGGGGACTGTATGACTGGACTAAGGGTATTCTGTGGCATGGGTTTGGGGTATTAAATAGACAGGACTGGAAGGCGTGGGGCTTCTCAGCAGGGATTGTTGAGGACTGAGTCCCTGAACTTAAACAGATGATCATTCCAGGGCAGGATACATTTTCAGGCCATCATGATTCAGATGTGATCTTACTGCATCTTCATACAACCGTCATGTTTATGAACAAGTGAAATAATTCTGTGGACATACATCATCTTTATTGCAGTGAAGACAACATTTTGATGTACTAACGTTTGATATCTGCACAGAAACTTCACATTTATTGCAATAAAGAATACCGATCATACCGATTTCGGAATCCCAATGTCAAAAGGTCATCAGGTTGTGTGGGGTTTTTTTTATCTCAGAACATACCATTGTTATTTCAGTGGTTTAGGTACATTGTGCTTATACTTGTTTCAGATGATCATATCCAGGGACTTGGTCTGCCCAGTGATGAAGTCAGCACCAGAACATTTCATCCACTTGTCATCCACATGACAGGAAAGTTTTGGAATATTTTATGGCTATGTTGAGGGAGCAGTTGGTGTATTTGAATAACACCATTTGTGTGTCCTTTCCATTGGTCATTTCAATCTCATTGTAATCAGAGCATTAGTATGCAAATGCTGGTGTGTTTTGGCTTAGTATTGAACTGGTGGATCCAGAATGATTTATAATGTACAGGACTTCAACTATACTATGCTTTAATCACTGATAAAAAACCCATTGATTTTGCATTTTCATTTCCAGCGTTAACATTCGAACAAACAATTATACCAGTGTTGTTATCATTGTGGGTGTATGGATTGTTTTACCCCCAGAGTTTCCATGTTCATTTATCACAGCATTCCATATCTCCAAACTCTTCATCAGTTACCTCCCCTTGTAAAATGACCCAAAGAGTGCATCAGCTCTTGTATGGCTTCACTATATTGTAAGATGTGTTGATCACAAGGGTACCAAACACACAGAACTTACAATTCGAAGACATGTGTGATAAAGGTTATGATTATAGCCCACAAATGATTAAGATGGATAACGCTTTCTAAACATTGTAAAAAACATACCGCATATATTTAGCTGACTGACACTCACTGTGAGAATTCTTTGTATATTTCTATGAGCATATCTGTGGCTGAAGATGAACTGTTCACAAACTGACAGGTCGTGGTGTGACTCACAGATATCAACTTTCGTAATGGATTGCAGCTATTTTTTGTTTTGGGTTCTATTCCTGTTTTGATTACTTCTTTGATTTGTTCTGTATTCCTTGAAATGTGAAGTAATAACATAAATAAATGATGTAATATTTTGCACAAACCTAAGAAAGTACCAGTAGATGGTTTCAGTGTAAAGTTATTTAGGAATATACACCATTATTTAAACGTCTACAACCAATGACACAGGTTGACATGACATATATAGATAATATTAAGTGAAATTTGTACGTTGTACAGGGTAAGGACCTATTTGATAATGTATCTAAGTCATGACAAAACGGCATTATTGCAGTGTAGGAAAGATAGCCCGTCCCAACGTCCGAGACTGGTGAATTTTGTGGAGGACGGGTTAAAAAAATATCTAGCCCGTCCTCATGTCGGGTCAATTTTAGCAAACCAATGACATATATAAAATGATTATAACCTTTTTGAATATTTACTGCCGAAGGTGTTTTATTTATATTTGGAGGACAGGCTAGATTTTGGCAGGACTGGTAAAAAATTTGACCTGCCTGTCCTGTGGACAGGCTAGATTTTCTACATCTTTCCTACACTGATTATTGTGTATATGTCAGATCCTCATGTGCCATACTTCGTTGTCAGTGTTATGCTGGTGTAGCCCTGGGTGCCGTTGTACAAAGCAACCTTAAGGCAACAACTATTGTAAGCCCATGTTAAGGTATGCGTGTTATAATCATCTCAGTGCTAAGATTGCTTTGTACAAGGACACCCTGGCTCATGAGATACAGGGTAGAATAGGCTGATGACTATGAAAGTTTAGAGTACAACTTGACTTTGCTGATTAGGACAGCTATCAATTATTCTGGGGTTAATTTATGTTGCATTTATACATATCTGTTGTTGTTTAAGCAGAAATTTAATATAATTTATGCAATTATATTTTTCGCCAGAAATCCAAAGATCGAGGATGTATAATTTATAGAGAATTAATTAGTGTATATAGTGTAGGGATGTATGTTGATTAGTATCATTATTATTATTATCCAGATGCAATATTAAACCATGTAGAGTAATGTTTTGTATATTAAGAATGTTGATCTCTTGATACCAGCATGGAGCCGACAACTCCACCACAGCTTCTACTACCAGAGGATGTTTTCTACAGCCTAAACTATTTGTATTAAAGTTTTAGCAAAATCATAATTCGTGTTTGATGTTTATTTGGATAGATGTCATCAGATTCAGTAAGATTTAATGGGCCATCATTTGGAGTCTGTCTGGGCATGTCTGTAATATTTCCAGCCTGCCAGGGTGTTGACGGGTAGCCTAGTGGTTAAAGCGAAATATGCTCAGTGTTGCTTAGACAACAAACATGTGAGGTAGTAATAACTGGTAATTCTTTAGTCTCTGCTCTCAGCTATGTATTGGTATACAACATTGTCACCTTCCGTAGTCCAGTGATGTAGGTGAACGCCTTACTGTGTTCAACTTGTCAAGCTATTCAAGGGAGACAACTCATATGTCTTATCTGGACGATGTGAACAAAGCTTGGTTTTGAATTAACATTGTCCGCTGGAAGAAATGTTTGCGCACCCTTGCATTTACTCGTATATTATGTGATTCGTTGCTTAAGCGTCACAGCCGGTGGAGTAGCAGTGTTAAGCGTTCGCTCATCTTGCCAAAGACCCGGGTTCGATCCCCGACATGTGTAGTATGTGACGCCTGTTTCTTGTTTCTGTGATACTGCTGGAATATTGCTAAAAATCTGTGTAAAACCTCACTCACTCAATACTATCTGCTCCGACCCGTCTACTCAAGTTTCGCACAGGCCACCGACTGTAATATCTGAGCACATCTGTAATATTATATTCACCCCACTTTCTCTCACTATTTCACTTTCGGACAAGCTCACCACAGTCCGTACCAGTTTTCAGATAGGCCATTTCTCAGAGCGACATGTCTTGGCAGCAATCTATACTGGACAAAAATAGTTAGGGGATATATGTAAATTTTTAAATTATGAATAATGATCTATTTATTCATTGACACACTGATAAAATATCAATCATAAACATACCAATATTCCTAACTTATTTTGTCCAGTATATATTCACCTCAAGTGATAAGAAAACGCGTTAGGCGAAGGGTGGTGTTTCGTAAGATAAGATGACTGCTCTGAGGGTATCTTCAGGCAAGCAATTCTTCATTCTGTTCACGTAATATCCTTGTCAAAGGATCGATGATAAAGTATTACAGAACATGCATTATCTCAGCTCGATGCAGCGCTACATCGAATTTATTTGACAAAATCAGTTTGCATATTGACAGATATCCTTTTATGCTTCACTGAACTGTGTGAAGAATAGAGAGCATTATGAAAGCCAGTCGCCTTTGCACCGGTAACTCGGAACGTACTCGGCAACGATTTTGAAAAGCTGACTTTGTGCAAGTATTTAACTAAATGTTCCAAAATGTTCACATGGGCCACAGGTAGAATTGAACGGGATCAGCAACTAAGCATATTTTCGGTGGTCTGAGATTATTTCATACAATTACAGTATCTTTAATACCAATTACTTCCATAGCATTATTTTGGTTTCATTTGAACAAGCTCTTAAGAAATAAGAATCACAGGTTTACAATATTGCACATGCATTTCATGATAAACGCATTTTACAATCATGCTTGATTTTTAAACGGCGCACTGTCCCAATATTGAATTTTCAGATGTATGACAAATGAGCATAATGACGAGATAACAGAAATTACGACAAACTGTCGCCACGTTTTACCCAAGTGAGAATTGTGGTCCGTTAGTCTGAATGCGCTGTTCGTTTTGATCATTTCCACACGGCTTTGGAACAACCTCCTTTATTTCTGCTGTTTCTTAAGAACAAGCTCCCATTCACGCAACAATACTTAAGCAACACATTTGTGATTACAGTGGCGTATATATGCAATGCACATACCCCAAAACAAATCAATATGCGTTTACCAGTTAACCATTTCCCGCTTAGTCTGGAACTAGGGTCCCCTTATCACAGCGCAACCCTCCCTCTGTCCATTACATTACAGGTATATTGCTTGGGACTGCGAGGGTTCTTCACCACCTTTTCCAACAATAACGGGTTTAACAAATCTCAACTACACAAGCGAGAACATCATGGCAGTGTGGTGTCGAGCCGATTCTTTTTCTGCAGGAATTGTCCACCCTTGAATCTCGTGCTGCCATGTTGAAAGATGTTAGTTTATCACATGTTAGTTAAAATGGACCGTTGACCTTGACCGGTTCTTCACCACAAGAATGTCACGAATGTTGAGGTCAAGGTCGTGATTGGTTAGTTTCTGCTTGCACAAGCATTATGTGAACTGGTCTGGTCTGTTTGTTAGGATGTACTTCTCTCAAAAGTTCTCATGCAACAGTTTACATTTAGTAAAACTGAAAATGCACATTTCACGGAATCATCGTAACCCTGATCAAGAGTAACATCTTAATAATATGTCTTTACGTTTAGGGTAAAGGCGATATTGCAAGTATATTCTCACAAATATGATCCAGTTTATAATAGTGTTTGAAATACTATAATTGATTACATTACAAAATAACAAAACGTTATATTCCGTCATACCAGTCTTAAGTATATTCGTTCAGTATTAAACGAATAATATCATCCCTTAAGTAAAATTGTAACATAAATATTCTTCCATTTTGTATCACCCGTCACCCGTTATTATGCAAGTATCTTGTCCAAGGACCACATTCCTGTCAAGTGTAAAGGGAGATTACTCATTGCATGATATAAGTATGAAAATCAGTCGATGTGTATAGCTGCCGAAAACGTCAAAAAGCGTCTAGACATTGGTTCTAGTTGTTAATGAATACTATTCTACAATAGAAACATATCTGGAGCAACTATTTAGATTTTTGACGCAACGTAAACTGTAACTGTTACCGAGTAGTCTCCCCTTAAGGACGTTTCTAACGTGGATGTGTATGTCTTTCACAAAGAATAACTTTCGTTCTCGGATGATTGCCTTACTTAGCCTGACCTTATTACATGCATTATCTGAAATGATGGCGAAAGATTAGCGAAAGGTGTGCAATTAAGGTATAAAATACGAATTATGCAATATCCCCGGGCACTCCTCCTGTGCACAGTCAAGCGGACATGCACGTGCTTCTTCCTGAGAAAGTTCTGCGAGGACTGAAACACCGATAGTAAACAACAACTAATGCCAGTAGTCATACACAAAGCCACTTTGTGCCTTCCCGTACCTCGATCCCCGCACTAAACACAGGTATCCATTGTAAGAACATGGCGGTCTGCAAGATGCAGTTGAGTGTACACTCGGGACAAGGCCACTATAACAGACAGCTCCAACCAAGCCACGGTTAGGTCCCACAACCACGTGCGAGTACAACCTCCAATTCACTTCCGGGAATAAAGCACCAATGGGATTGCAGCATGTGATATCAGTCCCATGTAATTGGATTTCTGAATTTGGGCGGAGGAGCACTTCTACATCGTCTGCCAGGCCACGTCGAGGATTTTTTGGTCCGCTCGTTCAAGGACAGTTTCTGGACTGTTACCGACTCCGACACCCAGTCTGGGTGTATTACGAAAAAGTCTCTCCGTGGTGTCGTTGGGGCAAATACACCGCCGTCGTATTCATATGTCGTTGACGGCCGTTTCTTTTTTTCTTCAGCTTTAACCGGGGAAGTATTTAGCGATCTGCTTTTAGAAATGGTGAGTCCTTGTATGGGCTGTTGGAGGAAACTAGCCGACGGGAAACTCTGGCTGTACCAGGAATGTGAGGTTTGGTTCCGTCGTTGGTAGCTCGTCGTCTTCTTCGTTGGTACGTCCATCGTGCCTGATCCTAGCGTTATCGTTCGTACGTTCAAAACCTTCCGAGGGGTGCTGAAAGAGAATGATTCCTTGTGTTAGAAATGACATGACAATAATTTCATTAAAAAAAGGACAAACGAACTCGCCAGTTTAGGCTGCTACACAATCACACACACAGAGCATTATTTCGTAATTGCTTGCCTCTTTAGTCCGGAGTATGTAAAGTGTGTCCGTCCAGGTTAATGGGGTTCCACTTACAGAGGGACCGACTCCAAACGTCAAATGAAATGCATATACTGATACATTTATGCAGTCATCTTAGACCTGGTGTAAATTAAGGAAGTAGCAGAACGCATGGTTAATCAATCACCATGTGTACCTGAAACACTCAACACTCCTCCCTCCAGAACCAATCATCTCGAGCAACTGTTTTACATCACCCCAAACACGAACACCATTAAGACTCAGATGGGTTTTTGTCCAACTTTGAATCCAAAGCTCATTCTAACGAAAGAAAATCCCCCCAAGATGTTTCCTAAAGTTCAATATATCAATACGCCAATGACAAACGTTAGGTGACAATGTGTTGAAACATTGATCCATACGATGTGCCAGTTTAGATGTGAATACTGAAAAACAACAGGATTCTGAATTGTCTTCTCCACCACAAATAGCACACATTAAGGGGCATTGATTTTCTATTCTGGTCAGTTTTAGTGTCTGCTGTCTTGTAATAAACACCTAATGTTCCCGCCACACTACTTTGAAATCGACACGCGCGCCATCTGGCGGAGATTGGCTGCATGAGGTGTTGAAAACAGTTCTAGTTCCGTGATCAATATCACAATTACTCGGGGCTCTGGCAATTATGATATGCCAACAGAAAGGTGGCGATTATCGTCACTCGTCCTTTATAATCACACTTCTCTTTTCTTGCCAATTCACATATTTTATGTGTTACTACAACGAGGGGATCAGCCTGAATGCGTGAAGACATAATAGCAAGAAAGATAATTGATGAATGCATCGTTGTCAATCACGTTGAATATAAGCGGTGCATTTGCGGTTACAAAAAGTACAAACGCAACAAAGAACGAGTTAAAACCCTTGTTTATGAGAACGAGACCTGTGACACTCCAGAAAGTATCTGTAACCTACTTTTGGGATCTCTCCCAGCCGTATGAAGATATCAATTTTTATCAAGATTTTACCTGTTTTGTTAATAGTAATGTTATGGAGCGTTATTCAATATATCAACCACCTGTTTGTGTGGTCGGTATTCATAGCTGGGTTGTTACTGACGGGGCGTGTAACCCTACTCTGCCACTCTCAGTGAAAAGGCTTGAATTAGTTTCTCACTCACTCACTCGATAGTTATTAAATGACGCTTTACTGCTCCCTTCTAAAATATGCCTCCTTGTCTAGTACATCAAAATCAATCAACTGAACTTCAGTAAGCAGACGAGTAAAGTTCCGTTTAAAAGACTGGTTTAAACCAGCTGGAACTGCCTTTAATAACGTGCTGTGTAAGGTGATTGAGTGGATCGTCCACTTCAAGTCCATAACAACCTCTATGTACTCGGGGAACACTCTTGTTGAGCATTATGTATAGAACGATATTAAATTAATACGCAAGCAATGGTATCACTAATATAGGTCATTATTCCTTGTTGATATAAACGGATTCCCTTGAAAGCGAGTCTATCGCAAAGAGTCTCGTTAAATCTAATTTTACAGAGGCTGCTCAGATTCTCGCAGATGTTTAATCACAGAAGCTAATCAGTATTCACATCGCGTATGGACACAAATGGATTGCCATGAGAGAACCCAAGTGGGTCGGCCAAGGGTGTCGGTTGGTCTAAAACCATAAAGTCTCTATAATATTTCAGCACTCCTGGGAATACACAGGCCGATGCTATAGAAATACGTGCAGTATCTGAAGCTCACGAGGCTAGAGTTAGGTTAAGAAAACGCACTTGCAGCAGATTCTAGACCCATTGATCGGGCACCAGCAACATGGCTTAATTACTAGCCTCTTCAAACAAACCGACATCGGACACGGTAATGAAACAGAATCATGCTGTAGCTTTTTGTCCGAACTTGAGGAAATCGAGTAAACTGGAATGGTAGCTCATCACGAATGTAAGTCCATGAAATCAGGGAATCATTATTACGTTACACATCTTGAAGGAAGCTCACGGGGACTTTGGGATGGAGATGCCCGGATTTGATCGTTCATTGTTCAATGTGAACTTCTAATGACACTATTTGAGCTACTTTGTCCAAGTTGAGTTAAAAGAGAATATTTGATATTGACCTTCCGGGCTTAGCTGTATTAGTACACGGAAATATCTCCAGAATGTTATAATACCTCGACTACGTCTCTGTTTGCCAGCACCATACCAGGTATCGTGGTTTTGGCCAAACATCAAACTCTATGACATGTGCACTTCCTTGTGTCGGTCATACGCGTGTGCAACGCATTCAGACGAGCCTCCCGATTCCGCATGAAAAACTGGGCTTCTTTGCGAAAATGCATTCGTTGAAAATAACAAACCGCCGCCGAAAGGCAAGCCAAACCCCACGCCAAAGCCCAAGCCTAAACCTAAGGGCAAGGATGGCAAAAAGAATGAAAAACTCGCATCTGCCCTTCTATTGGCAGACGGGTACCCTTCTATTGGCTTCCTCACACATTAAGCAGACACACCGGGACATAACTGCTGTTCAAACCGGCTTAAAACCCAACTCACCGATTACTTGCAGCAAGTTCATCACGAAAGTCTGTTTCTCCGTAATCAAATCATACCCAGCCCAAGCAAACTGAGCTGGTCGATTAGGAACCAATTTTGACAATGTCAGGAGCACATGAGCTTCGTATTGAACAAGCTGTCCCGTAACACGGGCGTCAGGAGTCAGCTGTGGAGATTCAGTCAATACTACATGCCACACAAGTATGTCCTGTATGTAGCGACATGTAACACGACCCTTCATGTAAAGATTACCACGTTAGACGCACCTATGGTTTGTAGAGATTTCAATACTGAATCCATTTATGAATCATGGGTTGAATATAACGCCAGTTTGACAGATTGATCACAAATCAGACCTTCAGATCTTATCTCACACAAAATACATACATTTTCCAGCTTGCATCCATAGTCTGGGAAAGACAGTGAACTGAATGATTAAGAAAGTAACACATACGAAACAGTATCTATTACTGTTATAGGTAAGTATGGACACCTACCTAATGAAATGCATTACCAACCTTTGGGTTCAAGGGGTTCAGGTAAGAACTTAGTGTCTTCTAGGGCCTCACTCTCACAAGAAAAGGCTCAAACAAATGGGAGTGAAATGCGACTCAGTGTAACAGTAGATGTATATCAGCCCACAGGTAGCACTCGTTCAGGAAAATGGTTTCCCTGAGGTAATTTGGGGCAAACTGTTGCTATCATCCTGAATCGTAGGGCGCTTAATGTCCAGCTTCCAGCTTTAACCGATGTTGCAGAACCAAGGGCATTTAGTTGTTGAAGACGAGGTGTAGATTTTTCTGGGTTACATCTTCTGAAGGGCATTTAGTTGTTCAAGACGAGGTGTAGATTTTGCTCGGAATTTTGCCATAATCAAACAGTTTCCCGAAGAAGCTTCCATCATGTAGAAATGAAGGGAATCGACCCCCCACTCCAGGTTTACGAGCGAATGCCTAACCACTGTGCCTCCTATCTGATAAAGAAGACTACATCATCACATACCTCGTATATCGAGACCTATACTCCGTCATCCCGTTCGAAGACAGCGACAACGAGCTGTAGCTCTTCCTCATAGTGTCAGAGTAAGTGTAGTCCTACTGTTTAAGGACCGTCACAAGGATTTACCAGCACTCTGTATCGTTACCTCGTCATACCGTGTCCTGTGGCTGACTGCACAGTCGGATGTAGCAGCAGTAATTACTGAACCTTTTACATCTGACATTACACTGGGAGAATAGCGGGAGCCTGCTGCTCTATGCTGGAGAGCGTGGAGCAGAGTGACGTGGCTTGATGACAGGATGCATCTCAGTTTGTTCTCACTTCAAACCAGTTTACATTTACCGTACGTACCCTAAACAAAGAATTCGGTCATTCCACTTGTAATTGTGTGTTGTGTAGCTAACATAATTCTACAAGGGGGTTGCTTTGATGGGAATGGATGTTGAGAATCCACCATCCAATTCTGCCTCTTACCAACCTTCTAACAAAGTGACAGTGGGAGACGGTAGAAAAGAGAAGTGTGGCTACCCGTCTGCCAATAGAAGGGATACAAATCATAGTGTGCCACGCAGCGAATCGGGGTTAGTAAAGGATCATGAATAATATCAGATGATTCAGTCATTACACGTGGTAATCATATCTTTGTCATGAGACGAATGTGTCATTTTATGAAAATGCACTTGTACAGAATGCACAGGTTTAACGTTGGGTGGAAGAGTAGTGTACTGTAGTGTTTGTTTGCACCTTTACGTGTATGTGGCTGCTTGAACAAAATAAGTGCCGGCCTTGTAGTGATAGCCTTCTGATATACCATGCTCAACAGAGATTAACTCCCAGCCGACTAGTCATGCTGCGGTCTCCGTAATCCTGAGCGCCAGGCAGTCGTATAGTAAGGTTGTAAAAGTAGAATCAATATTAACATTTAACAATGTATATTGGTGAGGTACCCTAGTTGTGTATAATTGTTAACTCATCCAAGACCCAGGTTTAATCCCCCACACGTGTACTATGTACGATGCCAATATCCTGTCTCCCCCGTTGTGATAATGCAGTAGCATAGCTCTAAAAGCGGCATAAAACAATACCCAATCACTATCACTATATGTTTGCCATAATAACTAAATAGAATTCTAATTATACGGCGGTGAATGGATTGACAACAGAAAGGTGGCAATCATCATCACTCGTACTATATAATCGACACTTCGGCTTCTCTTTTCTCGTATATAACTTCTCTAGCATTGTTTTTATCTTTGAGATCTCAAACGTATCTTAAGTGACGTTGTACAGTATAATAAAAAGTATGAAGAATACACTTTGATCTAATCCCTGACAGGTATTACGACAAGTGTCCCCCGAAGGCTACAGACGTTCGCGGACCTAGTTATGCGAAGTGTAAAACTTTAACTATAACGTGAGAAATGTTTTTCCTAAAGGAACACAAAAGCATTGAAGTCTGAAGCGATTAATCAATATGTGACAAGTCACGTCACATATGCACTACATTACCAACTGACGTCACTTCAAACACTCCCGTTCTTATTTTCATAGTTAAATACAAACCCTACGGACTTGACAATGGAGAAATATTACTGAGTTGGACATAACACGCATGTATTCTAATAATATCAATACAGTGCATTGTACACTGTGTATCTTGCGTCACCGACCATTAACTGAGTAAACAGAAAACCAGTTATGATGCATCCATTGATCTTGATATCAATGTGATCAATTATTAATAGTCAGGAATGTGATGCTATGTCTGCAACGTGTTGCAATATGATATTATCAGCGAGAGCAAGTCTCCAACCACTATGTAAATCCCCACATTACACAAATCTCACTCGCATCCCCTCACATGCCATACTATAATCCTGACGAAGCGCTTGTACAGAAATCAATATGGGTACTCCTAGTCAGATATATGTCATGGCGTCCATCTTGTTTACATTACCTGTCTCGAGATTCATTGTTCGCCTGATCGACCTCTTTGATAGCGTCAAATTTAGACGGTAGGGCGGACCAAGGGCGTGGTCGACCCCCGGGAGGATGTCTGGGGGATCTCGGGCCCTGGGATAGAAACATCCGCCTCTTGTAGGACGAGCGGAGCTGGGACTGGCGTGCGTCTGCTTTCTCCTTCTCGCAATGCTTCTTATACGCATTGAGCGCTTTATCCATGATGTAGTTGTATTCATTGTCCACATCTGCAAAAGGAGAGAGAGGATGAAGTATACGTACCTAAACTGGACGGTTGGGATATGGATGCGCTTCACAAAACTGGCATTTCTTCGTTAATTCGTTCTCGCATCAGACCGCCGCCATTTTGGTCAAGGATTCATGGAGGATATCGATCAATGGGATGGCAGTGGTTCGGTATCGATTTTCATAATTAATTCGCACGTGACCTATCGCACTTTTCACTCGTGGCTGCTGTTGTAAACGTCAATCAATACAGGATTGATGTTTGGGGAAGTTACTGACACATTTTCTGTATTCTGTACTTTGTCAACTGTTTGTGAGCCATAGTGTCATATTATATGAATATCATATATACAGTAGGCCAGTTCGCACCATTTACCAGATTTACAATATTAAGCTCAGGGAGTATCACAGCTAATCCTCTTAAAACAAAAATCATAAAAATAATACAACCACGTATATATATAAGGGAAATAACCACAATTTCGTACAGTCTGAAAATAAGGTACTTAATACTCAAATTAAAACACGGATATCTCGACTGGCTCTTACGGTTTAGATGTATTCGTGATAGCCGTATTTACTGCCGGAACTTGTTATTATATAACTTGTGTAACTTGTGTATTATTTTCTTGTTTATCTCTAGGGTGATTTTGAACAAAGTATACTACCCGTAGCAACGGTCCCGATTTAAGTATATGAAGATAAAATTTGTGTACTTCAGTCTGACAGCGACCCGTGAAGGTCCGGGTTAGAATATTGGCCTTCAGTAACCCATGCTTGTCGTAAGAGGCGACTAACGGGATCGGGTGGTCAGGCTCGCTGGCTTGGTTGACACATGTCATCGGTTCCCAATTGTGCAGATTGATGCTCATGCTGTCGATCACTGGATTGTCTGATCCAGACTCGATTATTTACAGACAGCCGCCATATAGCTGGAATAATGCTGAGTGCGGCGTAAAACTAACTCACTCACTCAGTCTGACAGCATTCCTTGCAAGAACATTTTATATGCTCATAGCGAACACTTAGTAAAGACATTACGGTAATACCGAGAGCAGGGATGTACATTTGGCTGATATAGTTGGAACATAATGCACGCCCGGTTTTCCTCATATTTGAACTACGTAATTGTCCTGCAACGTGAAACGCAGGCTTCATTTACAACAATAGAACGCTTTGTGTGATACGTCCCCGGTAGTGCGCTTATAGCATTCATTAATTGATTTCAGGATAATAAAATATTCAATAAATATTCTTTTTATATTACTTTTCCACTCGTAATCCTACAAATAATACACGCATTTATATTTGATGTGTTTTGTCAAAGTCAATTTCACGAGCTTTGTCAACTGACGTCCCTGTGCCATTCATGCTCACTAACTGCCGAGTCGAAATGATATAGTGATCATCTCTGTAGACCGACAGAATATAGAACAGCTACAGCTATTCCGCGACGAACACCAATATTATTAAATGATGGATATAGTAAGAGCCGATACAAAGACATGACAGATATAGTGAACACACACAGACAGATAGATGTTGTCTTAGAGGATTTATTGAACACCGATATAATGTTATAAAGAATATTGTGAACACCTATTTCGTGAAATAGCAGATATAATGTAAAAATAATGGATATAAATTTTTCTTAAAAACCGAGATGCTGAACGCTGACATAACGAAATACTGACTATAATGAACACCGATGTTTTGAAGTAACAGATATAATGTATATTGATATAATCAAAGAAAGGACATAGCAAACACCTATATCAAAAATGATAAAATGAACAACTGTGTCAAAATGAGTCATAAAATATTGATACACTAGTACGTATGACACCAGACGTATGACGTCAAAATGGTTTACATTTATTACGTCATAATGCTAATACCTCTGTCACAATGTTATTAGATCTTGCTTGACTCACGGAGAGCTGCGAGTCACCACACTGTATAGGCAGTTTCTATCAGTTTGTGTGGGAGAGTAATTAACAGAATACTAAACTCGCTCCCGTCAAATACCATTTTCATTAAACTCGTGAAAGATTTAGTATCAAACTCGCTTTCGCTCGTTTGATACCAAATCATTAACTCGTTTAGTAAACATGGTATTACACGGAAGGTCGTTTAGTATCCTCTATATATATAGAAATACGTGATATAATGAAATAATTGGGAAAGTGACCACTGATTTTATAAAATAACTAATATGGTGAAGACTCTTGAAATAACGGAAACAATGAACACGGATACAAAGATACAGGGGGGTAAGTGAACACCATCATGAAATAGTGATAAGGGTTTCAGTTAATCGCTATGAATACGGTAGCATTATACTTGTACTGTACAAACGAAAACCTAAGATTAACATATTTGATGATACACATGTAACTATACGTATTCATTGTGCTTGTGGTGTCACGTGTTTCTATGGAGCCCATAGCTCACAGATCAACTTTGATTGCAGAAATTACGTGGATGGGTGACCGCGTTCACCACTCTGCTGAAAGGTGAGGAGTTGGTGGTGCATTATATACATGCACATTTTATATATTTTATTACTTTCGCTAGCTCAAAACGACTGACGAGTAGTTGCTTCCAGAAGTCCAGCATGGTTTATATTTATACAGGTTAGGCTATAGTACCTGCTACATGTAGTATTATTTTTGCATGTATGTATGTTAATAATAAACAGTGCGTGTACGTCAAAATGTCAAAATTAGAAACATGAAAGAAATAGTGTTGCAGCTGAACGGTCACTAAAGGGATATTTTACGAGCGTTTCATCTGCTTTGCGTTTTGCTGGTTGTTTCACCTGTGTGTGTGTAAACTTTCCTGTTCAGTGAAGATTTTAAGAACACTTTTGTTGCATGAACATTTAGATTATTTGAAACCTGCATTATTCTGTGAATGAAGACAATTATGTCCACGTAAAAACACATTCATTACGATGAGAGTGAAAGTGAGAGTGAGAGTGAGAGTGAATGTCCCACGCTGAGGTCGTCAACATTACAACTAAATAAACCCTTAAGATCCGGTTTAAATAGAACTGGTCTTCAGTAACTCATACTTCTCGTAAGAGGCGACTAACGGGATCGGGTGGTCAGGCTCGCTGACTTGGTTGACACATGTCATCGGCTCCCAGTTGCGTAGATCGATGCTGATGATATTGACCACTGGATTGTCTGGTCTAGACTTTACAGACCGCCGCGGCGTTTAACAACCAACATATACATAGAGTTAATCAACTGCAATGGCTTATGCCCTAATGAATATTTGTGTGATTATCAAGATTATTACAACGTCAGAAGCAAAAAACAAACACAACAACAAGATTTCACACAACATATGTCTATAGACGGGCAGCAAACATAAACTGGAAGAACAACAACTATTCATATAACTTTTTCCGCATGAACAAATGTTGAAATATTATATATAAACACAGCCCTGAAAAAATCTACTCACCATTGTCTGCAGATGTTGACAGCTTGTCGCCATCACACATCTTTCATCGCCAAGCGCTAACCGCGAAATCATTCGTCAGTTTACACAGTGTGGTTTCGCGAACTCCCAATATCCGCCCTCAACAATGACACAACCAGGGCGATCTCCTCTGCCCGTCTTTATTACACACCACAGACCTCTCTCCTTACGTATAGTAACATAGGAACTCGGGTGCTTAAATAACGTTGGTGAATAATTCATGGTTTGGTCTCCCGTTTCCAAGCGAGGCGTGATATAGGCCATTCGTTGTGGGGATCATTACAACGGTGATTTGCCTAATGTATGTTTGATTTAGCGCTAATCGATGTATCGATCTCGCGGTGACAAGGATACTGAAAAGAACGCAGGGTTGTTATTACGGGATATCCGTAGCACATTTCCATGTTGTTTTCCAGTCCTTTCCATGATTGATAGCCCGACCAGAAATATCCACCATTGTGGATGAATGGTATTTAACATAGAAAAATAGTTCGATGTACACATTTGTTATAATGGGTATCAATGCATTTCACATGGAGCGTAATTTGGCGACTGTTTACGTAATCGATCAGAGAAACTACAATTGAAATATCGTCTAGAATCTCTTTAACATTTTTGCACTGCCAATGTTTTTGTTTTTGTTATATTTTATCTTGTGCCACAAACACAAAACGCAGTAAGAATCACTTAGGAATACGCGTTTAGTATGGTAACTGATTAGGGCCATATCTCGCTTTCTCGCCTCCGAATTTTAAGGCGAGAAAGCGATGGCCCTAATCAGCCACCATAGTTTAGCACGTTGCACGGTAGATTGACTTTAAATAATAACGGTATGCTTTATATGGTAACCGTAACTGAAATTAAGACATCTGAATTCAACAAAACAAATTTAAGATCTACACGCAAAAGTATTACTGAAGATCCCACTAGTGAGTGAGTAAAGTCTCACGCCGCTTTTGGCATGGGTACAGCCTCATAATCTGATGATTGTTTATTAACCAACTGCCTCGTAATCCCAGGTTCTAGTACACAAATGCGCTTGGGGCAGGGTTATTGTTGTTAAAGTTGGGGATGTATGACGCTTGGTGTGTTAACTTACCATAGTTGGTGGCAACTGGTAGGCGGAGCGACATGCTCTGTTGAGGCGGGGCCTGCAGCAAACAGACAAATTGTTATTAAATATGGAGAAATGTGATACACAACAGACTAGATTAAATATGGAGAAATGTGATACACAACAGACTAGATTAAATATGGAGAAATGTGATACACAACAGACTAGATTAAATATGGAGAAATGTGATACACAACAGACTAGATTAAATATGGAGCAATGTGATACACAACAGACTAGATATGGAGAAATGTGATACACAACAGACTAGATTAAATATGGAGAAATGTGATACACAACAGACTAGATTAAATATGGAGCAATGTGATACACAACAGGCTAGATTAAATATGGAGCAATGTGAACAGATACACAACAGACTAGATTAAATATGGATGATACACAACAGGATTAAATATGGAGAAATGTGATACACAACAGACTAGATTAAATATGGAGAAATGTGATACACAACAGACTAGATTAGATATGGAGAAATGTGATACACAACAGACTAGATTAAATATGGAGAAACTTGATACACAACAGACTAGATTAAATATGGAGAAATGTGATACACAACAGGCTAGATTAAATATGGAGAAATGTGATACACAACAGACTAGATTAGATATGGAGAAATGTGATACACAGCAGACTAGATTAGATGCGGAGCAAGTGATACACAACAGACTAGATTAGATATGGAGAAATGTGATACACAACACACTAGATTAGATATGGAGAAATGTGATACACAAAAGACTAGATTAGATATGGAGAAATGTGATACACAACAGACTAGATTGGACAAGCGCTCACGATCAAGTGATTATTGTGACAAATCATGTCGATGTCTTGGTCCTCAGTTGATGAAGACACTGACACAGACGATTTTATTTGTTTTCGTTATAAAACATGAGACATGTAAGACAAGGGAATTTGGCCAAGATGTTGCACCTAAACCCCAGAATAGCGATGAACTGATGTCGGTCAATGGTAGTCAGATGGTGGCTCTAGCATAATATCATGATAGGTTTCTTGTCAGAGTCCTCATCACTCAGTTGCCTTAGTTTTGCTGCCTAGTATAGGTATAAATATTTTTATCATCACAAACTATGTTCCACAGAAGATATTGCTTGAGTAAAATCAAACGATATCTCCTAGGAAATAACGTTTTGACAGTAGATTTTGAACAATGCCCTGACAATGCTATGACGTCATGAACTTGATGACGTCACAATGCTGTGACATCACTGCACTGCAAGTCTAATGGCAGTACTGTGTTCAGAGATGTACATTTTTCATTGAAAACTAATGAAGAGTGATTTGGGATGATAAATAGAATCTCACCCTCGTGTCTTCTGACATCAAATAAAATCAACACTCGTTGATAAAAGTAAACATATCCTCGGCAAGGCTCGGATATTTGTAACTTTATCAACTCGTGTTATAATATATAATTGACACCTGGGTGGCCCCGATTTCTCGAAACAAACTTAAGTCAGAGTTTTTACTCAAATTTGAGAAAACGCAGGTAAAATGCTTTTTCCAGAATAAACTGAAATCAATATTAAACTCAAACTTAGTAGACAATTTGAGTTTGGTGGATAGATTACTTAAGTTGATTGGGATTTTTCTATTTAAAAAATGCAGTCGAGTTAAAAATTTAGCTGTTCCAAATTGTCAAACTCAGTTTGAAATTTGAGTTAAAACTTAAGTTTGTTTCGAGAAATCGGGGCCAGAAGACACTTGGGTGAGATTCTCTATATTATGCGAACGGTAGAATATGGCTAACTGTCAATCACAACACAATGATGTACATTTACTTTGTGGCTTGTTGGCTAAAAGAACTGTTACTTGACGCGTCATGAATGTGCTGCTTATGCTAGACATGTCTAGATGTCACAAAACACAAGATATAAGAAATCTTTTTTAAGTTTTGGTTATCACAGGTTTCATAGAAAACTGATTAAGGACTGCCATTGTCAAATAATTCGAAAAGCCAAGAGAATGTCGCCAAGACATGAATAACGTAATTGCAATTATTTATATATGACGCTGATCTCCATTCTCAATCCTCATCATCCCCGCATTGTACACTTCTTAGCCAACCCATACCACTCTGTCACTTTCGTTAATTACTGTGTATGACATTCATAACCATATTTGTTCACACCCTTGGTCGTGTTTGCCGTCACATCAATAAGTCCAAGACAATGTTATTGTCTCTAATATGTCCATTCTGGTCTTTAGCAAGATAAATATATGTTTACATTAGTACGGTATTCCGAATGACTGTGAAGGGACAACCATGTGCCTCTACAATTTGTTGTATGTTGGTGATATACATTTGTATTTGAAACGGGTACAAAAGTTGCAGTGTTTCGGCGTCTTTTTTCGGCTAAGTAACATTTTTTGGTTTTTATTTTTTCAAAATTTACTTTTAAAATGTATAATTGTTGTGAGTTCTGCAGTTTCGGAAAAAAAACCTAATTGATAAAAAAGCTACAGAGTAGTAAACTGGAACCTACCTGGAAGTTGTGTTGTGATGTTTACAATCCCATTTCACGACATGAATAGTAAACCCTACCTACAAGCAAACCCTCACGGTGCCGGACACCATGTTTTTCTACAAGGGGAGGGGACACGGGGGAGCTGATAAAGCTACCAGATGTATATAGCTTGTATTTAATTTCAAACCACTAACAAGTCATTAAATTTACATTGCAGGGTTTCCTCTGAGAACAAACTACGGTCTGTAGATTTCCTTTATCGTTGTCAAATCGAACAGAGATATTGGTAAGACTGGACGCAATGTGTATTAGTTGTTGATAGCTCATGGATGTATGTTGGCATACAGTCCCAGTGGGGAATCGTGCGGGATATTTGAAATAGACACGGTAGATTGCATGTATATTTTATGTCACGCTGGGATAGGTAAGGCCGCGTTTTATCGGTTTGGATTAATGCCAGGGATTTTTTTATGTTTCTAATGCAATGGTTGAGTCACGGAAGACGAAAAGAAATTTAAAGTTGAAGGATTTAAGGATGAGCGAGTTAAAGAATAGCTGTTAGTCATTTAAAACTAAGTCATATTGTGTCCAGTTATCACTGGTCAATGAAAAAATGTAAATTATTCATATAAATATATCATTTTAGAAGATGCTATTTGATGAACATAGAGACTTTTCTGGGTTCATGAAACACATATATAAGTTCAGGATATAAAGACCATATCAATAGTTTATCATGTCTCATGTGTTTTATCAGATGAGGATATCCATTGGCACATTTATTTTAGAGTGAAGTAGACAGTATTATGTATTGAAGACGCCTAGAACAGGGGATTCTAGATTATACGTTCCCGCCAAATACTGTGGTCGTAAGAGGCTATTATGTATGGCATCGTACCCCAAATACGTGTCCTGGTGCTGGATTTGCGGGCCACCGTTATATGGCTGGGATATTGGCACTTGGAAGTTATGTTGATAGAGTGGGTATGGCTTTACCTCTCCTGAATAACTGAGCCATATATGGGAAGGTGAGACACCAAGGATGGGCGTCACACACTGCCAATATATGATCGGAATCGATCCTGACCCGCAGCAATATAGATGCAAAGTGTAAACAACTGGGCCACCTACCAATACGGACACAGCGCGAAAACGTAGACTCGATCTCGCGAGATCAGGATGTTGACATGTATACGCAGGAAGCAGTTTGGACTGTCATAATGTCATACAGTCTACACACTTGGTGCCTTGGGATTCTTTAACAGAATCCAACAACTAAAATATTCCCCCTAAAACAGTGTATACTTTCTTTCAGTCTAATTAAAGTCCACGAGCTGAAAAAAGGGTCGGGTTGGGTGGAGGAATCGCGATGTTTAACCATTGAGCTAAAGGACGGATAGGGTATGTTATTGTGCATTCACGTGTACATTTGGTCATTTGGAAGGGTATTATTCGTTGAATGTCAAACCCTTGCCTCGCGATCAACTTGCACTGGACACTCACATCATAGTGAAACCTCTTCTATCCGGACATCATAAGTAACCTGCTCTAACTACATATACGTTCACTGACAGTAGCGGACACTTAACGAATATTACCATGAAGTAATTCGTACATGTGTTTAACGAAAACGATTTCAGTGCAACCGATGGGGATCAAACTTGTTCTACGAAAAATGGGTTGTTTAGAAAGTGTATAAAGACCAGCAACGAAAGGATTTCTTATCCATCCTTAGCACAAACATAAATGTATTACCGTAGCCTATCGTATAGGATACCAATTAGAAATGAACACTGATCCATGCTTTTTAGATAATAACAGACGATACTAGCCTGGTCACCTGACAATACCTGTATAGCCACTTATAGAAATATCACTATAATATCGAGCCAAAGGGCTTATAGTAATTGTGGTAAACCACACAGTATCTAGTATCTGTGTGGAGGACTGAATAGCGGGTCTAGCCACTTCAACTCACAGACTTGCTACCGAGATTCAAGAAGTTTAATTACTCGGTTAGCGGTTGTGTCGACCGTTACGATCCTGGGCCTAGATTATCGAAGCTCTCTTAGCGCTAAGATAGTCGTAAGTGCCATACATTAACATTAACTTACGACTATCTTAGCGCTAAGAGAGCTTTGAAAATCCAGGGCCTGGTAATCTTCTGCATCGAACATCCCACGAGTGAGTTGGACATAGATCAACTTACATGTAAGCATGATGTGTCAGTTGGCACCATGTAGAAACTGACTGGGCAAAGACCTTGTAAGGATTAGTCAGCGACTTTAGGTTACGTTCTTTGAAGCAAATTTCGGGCGTATCAGAGCACGGACGTCATGGGTAGGTGTCACACGTTGTATTCATATAGCGAATCAAACCTGTGTGTTGGACGAGACGAACCATGGCTTAAACCACAGGGCTACTCCGTTGTTTCCTTAGGCTGTAGGTATACGTCACACATTACACTCAGCTGCACTAGGTTACGCGTGTTCCACTGGGTGTAATATGACACTAAACCTGT